TCAGAGATGCCCCTTTTCTTCCAAACCAAGGCTTCAACAGCCATGTCATTAAAGCCAGTGATTGTGAAACAGGATGGCAAATTAGTCTTTGGGACAGAACATACTGAGGATCTGGCAGTGCCCTTTGAGGGTCTGTTAGGAGTCTTAGCAGGTCTGCATTCCACATCTACCTGGGCCAGTCTGGAGCAATGGGGATCATCAGAATATACTCCATCTTGATCTCATAAAGCAGATGATCTTCATGAGAAGACAGAAATAGATCAGCGTATACTGATCCAACAAAACCACCAAAGCAGCCACTGCTTCCAAAGGATCCATCCTCTTCGGTTTGTTTTTGATGAACCTGGAAGCCCACATCTGATATCCCCCACCAGTGACAAAGGTCCTAAAACATTTCCAGGTATAGGAACCACTCCTCCAGATCCAGGAGCTTCCAGCTAAGGAAATCTACCTGCCAATTGTCTACATAGGAGGAGTTATCCTGGACTGGCCTCCAGTGTTTTTTTTGCCAGTGTCCAATACTTCTGTAGGTTCTAGTACAACCCAATGGTTACAGATGTCCTGTGTCCCTCCATGGACAGGAAAGAAATTATTTCTTCTAAAACCTGAAATTCTAGTCTTCGCTAGTCAATCTGAAAATATTCTGCCCGGTCCAGGCATCCCATAATATTTTTAGTGTGTAGAGGACTGGCTGGAAACCTATAGATGAAAATCTGTAACATACTAAATAAGAGTTTTAGAAGAAACACAAAAGGAGAGACCAATATAGTCTGAAAATGATATCCACTGACCAAGCCTAGGTACATAGCTTCAATGTCTCCTAAGAATTCAATCCTGGAGGTCCCCACCAGTCAACAAGAATCATGGCGCCAACATGAAGGTTAGGATATTTGGGCTAAATATCAATTATGCTGGATTCACATGAATAAAATAATGACATTGTGGGTTCAACCAGCCACTAAACTACATCCATCAGACAGAAATAAATGACCCCCATAAAAGACTAATGAATGAATTCTAGGACAAAACTGCTGGTAACAACCAACTGCCATCACACAGCATTAAAGTAGATCAAAATTCAATTACTTAAATCTCATAGATGATGTATCATGTTAATGCCATTTCCAAAGGTGATGATTTAAATCTTTATAAATCTGCAGCTTTCATTAAAATAATGCCTGGCGATCCTGCCGTAAAAGCTCTTGTTGAGGCACTTCCTGTTATAGGGTGACAACTATCTCCCAATTGTGCTCCTGCATTGTCACCCTGTCTCATGCACCCCTGGTGGAGACTGCAAGCAGCGGTAGACACACACTGTACAAACACGGTCCACTGCTATCACTAACTGGCTGCTTTCACACTGCTCTGTTGCAAGAGCACAGTACAAACACATATGCATTTTTTGCCATGTTTTTGATGTATTTCCTGTGCGTTTTCTGGTTGCTTGCACCTGTGAAACAGACATGATTCAAAAAAAGGCACCAAAAACACAAACGTGGTGCATTTTTGCTGTGTTTTCCATTCATTTCAATGGGGAGGTGCATTTTTGGTGTCATTTTTTTTTTTTAACATGTACCTAACATGCACCAAAAATATAGCAAGCAGGACTTTTAAAAATGCAACTGACCGGTGTGAAGACGCAGTAGAAGGCTTGAAGCGCCGCTCTAAGCATGAGGAAGGTGCAATCTCCCTGGTCCTCAGAAATGGGGTGCTGGTATTAAGCTCACTCATCCAGCAGTGCCAGAGTAGTTTAAAAAAGAACACCACACTCCCAACCCGACCAGGGTGTAGATGGGGTGTCAAAGTCTCAGCCAGCTGCTCCACAAATCACACCCCGATTCGTTTCACCTCGCCCACCAGGACTTGGTCATACAGCTCTGTGGCCAAGCCCCAGTGGCCAGGGTGAAATGCGTCGGAGGCTGGTCTGTGGAGCAGTGCTGGCTGAGGCCAATTGACATCTTCATCTACACTCTAATTGGGTTGCGAGTGTGGCGTTCTTTGCTTAGACTAACTGGTGTGAAGAGTTCCATAGGACGTAAAGCATTTTTCTTCCATTTTTTTCTGTTTTTAGTGTCAAAGGGCCTTTAGGAAGCGGGCCAAAGTAATGATGTGCAGCGGACACTGGGGTGAGTGCATGTATACCGCAAGTGGCTAACAGAGGTTGGAGGCGATAGGCAGCACAAAGACGGAGAAAAAAAAAAAAAAAAAAAAGGGGTAAAAATAGTATTTTATGGACAAAAAACGAAAAACTGTTTATGATTCACATTGCACAGAGCAAATGCCACCTACTTCGGGCTTAAATCTCATTGGCTGTTAGAGGCATGAATGTACCTTCTTACCCCCAGGATGTATATATGAAGGGTGGCATCTTACCCCCGGGATGTATATATGAAGGGAGGCATCTTACCCCCAGGATGTATATATGAAGGGTGGCATCTTACCCCCAGGATGTATATATGAAGGGAGGCATCTTACCCCCAGGATGTATATATGAAGGGAGGCATCTTACCCCCGGGATGTTTATATGAAGGGAGGCATCTTACCCCCGGGATGTTTATATGAAGGGTGGCATCTTACCCCCGGGATGTTTATATGAAGGGGGCATCTTGACCCCATCTTAGGGTGGCATCCCCAGGATGTTTTATGAAGGGTGGCATCTTACCCCCGGGATGTTTATATGAAGGGTGGCATCTTACCCCCAGGATGTTATATTTATGAAGGGTGACATCTTACCCCCAGGATGTATATATGAAGGGTGGCATCTTACCCCAGGGTGTGTATATGAAGGGTGGCATCTTACCTCCAGGGTGTGTATATGAAGGGTGGCATCTTACTCCTGGGGTGTATATAAGAAGGGTGGCATCTTACTTCCAGGATGTATATATGAAAGGTGGCATCTTACCCCCAGGATGTATATATGAAAGGTGGCATCTTACCCCCAGGATGTATATATGAAGGGTGGCATCTTACCCCCAGGGTGTGTATATGAAGGGTGGCATCTTACTCCTGAGATGTATACATGAAGGGTGGCATCTTACTCCTGAGATGTATATATGAAGGGTGGCATCTTACCCCCAGGATGTGTATATGAAGGGTGGCATCTTACCCCCAGGATGTATATATGAAAGGTGGCATCTTACCCCCAGGGTGTATATATGAAGGGTGGCATCTTACCCCCAGGATGTATATATGAAGGGTGGCATCTTACCCCCAGGATGTATATATGAAGGGTGGCATCTTACCCCCAGGATGTATATATGAAGGGTGGCATCTTACCCAGGATGTATATATGAAGGGTGGCATCTTACCCCCAGGATGTATATATGAAGGGTGGCATCTTACCCCCGGGATGTATATATGAAGGGTGGCATCTTACCCCCAGGATGTATATATGAAGGGTGGCATCTTACCCCCAGGGTGTGTAAATGAAGGGTGACATCTTACCCCCGGGATGTATATATGAAGGGTGGCATCTTACTCCCGGGATGTATATATGAAGGGTGGCATCTTACTCCCGGGATGTATATATGAAGGGTGGCATCTTAATCCTGGGATGTATATATGAAGGGTGGCATCTTACCCCCAAGATGTGTATATGAAGGGTGGCATCTTACCCCCAGGATGTATATATGAAGGGTGGCATCTTACCCCAAGATGTGTATATGAAGGGTGGCATCTTACCCCCAGGATGTATATATGAAGGGTGGCATCTTACCCCAGGATGTATATATGAAGGGTGGCATCTTACCCCCAAGATGTGTATATGAAGGGTGGCATCTTACCCCCAGATGTGTCACAATGAAGGGTGGCATCTTACCCCAGGATGAATGAAGGGTGGCATCTTACCCCCAGGATGTATATATGAAGGGTGGCATCTTAATCCCGGGATGTATATATGAAGGGTGGCATCTTACCCCCAGGATGTATATATGAAGGGTGGCATCTTAATACCCCCGGGATGTATATATGAAGGGTGGCATCTTACCCCCAAGATGTATATATGAAGGGTGGCATCTTACCCCTGGGATGTATATATGAAGGGATCTTATATATGAAGGGTGGCATCTTACCCCCAAGATGTGTATATGAAGGGTGGCATCTTACCCCTAGGATGTATATATGAAGGGTGGCATCTTACCCCTAGGATGTATATATGAAGGGTGGCATCTTAACCCCGGGATGTATATATGAAGGGTGGCATCTTACCCCCAGGATGTATATATGAAGGGTGGCATCTTACCCCCAGGATGTATATATGAAGGGTGGCATCTTAATCCCGGGATGTATATATGAAGGGTGGCATCTTACCCCCAGGATGTGTATATATGAAGGGTGGCATCTTAATCCCGGGATGTATATAATATGAAGGGTGGCATCTTACCCCCAAGATGTATATATGAAGGGTGGCATCTTACCCCCAAGGATGCATCTTATATATGAAGGGTGGCATCTTACCCCCAAGATGTATATATGAAGGGTGGCACTAAGAACATAAAAAAGACAAAACAAAAACAGACCACAAATTGCAACACAAGGCGAACGCTGACTTCTCCTGTGTCGTATCCAAATGACACCACCAGCCAAAAAAAAAAAAAAAATTAACTGCAGACCAGGGAACTAACATACTGAGAAAATGAAGGTAAGGGGGAACAAGTACCAGAGACGCAAAGAACAAAATAATATATGGCCAAAAGAAAAATAGAAAGTACTCAAAATCCTTAGATTTTGCCGTTTTATGTGCGAATGGCAGCAATGTCTATAAATAGTCTTTAAAAAAAAAAAAAAAAAAAAGTAAGTCTTTGACAGAGTCTGCAGGTTGTGACTTTGTTATATAAAAAACGTCCCATGCGTTGGATTGTCACAGTAGAGTTGCTGGAAGTTGGGTTTCATGTGTAATAGGCACTTTTCTTTTGTCAGTGCATAAAATGCAGCGATGGTGCCGGGTCAGAGGGTAGCACAGCCAAGGCGCGGGTGAGCGATGATGGCCGGTCTCCGAGCATCTACAGAGCCATAAAGCTTACGATGAACTCCAGAAGCTTTTGGCGGTTACACTGAGGTAGGAAGGTGCTGCTTAGTTCTAGAATGCGGTCACGGTTTTCCTTGCAGACCTGGAACACCTGTGAAGAAGGGGAGACGTAGAGCCTGTGAGTTAAACAAAACTCTTTCACATTTTTATGATAGCCATTCTAGGTCAACAATACAGAGCCTTGAAAAGTATTCATACCCCTTGACGTTTTCCACATTTTGTCATTTTACAACCAAAAACGTGAATGTATTTTATTGGGATTTTATGTGATAGACCAGCCTCTCTCAACCTTCTCAATCCTTGACATAACTTTCCGGTCTCAGGGAACCCCTAAATGACTATCTACAATTCATGATACATCAGTGTGGTGGTCGGTGGGAAGATTGCTCCTTATACTTGTGGTCATTGGGAAGAATTACCTCCTTACAGATTACTAAAAAGATCAATGGTGTCAGTTGGAACTTCAGTGTAGAAGTGGAAAACCCAGATACTCCTGCGCTAAGGGATGGACTCCATGTCATTGGGACCACATAGCGAAATTCTTGGGATATGCATGCCTTGCTGCCCTCAAAAGACCGGGGGAGTCCAAATATACTGAACAGAGAAAAACAAATACAGCCATAAGAAGTCCCATTTACAGTTTGTGAGAAGCCATGTGGGAGACACAGCAAACATGTGGAAGAAGGTGCTCTGGTCTGATGAGACCAAAATTGAACTTTCTGGCCTAAAAGCAAAACGCTATGTGTGGAAGAAAACTAACACTGCACATCCCCCTGAACATACCATCCCCACCGTGAAACATGGTGGTGGCAGCATCATGTATGTTGTGGGGATGCTTTTCTTCAGCAGGAACAGGAAAGCTGGCCGAAGTTGATGGGAAGATGGATGGAGCCAAATACAGGGCAATCGTAGAAAAAAAAAAACATGTTAAAGCGTGTAAAAGACTTGAGACTGGGGCGGAGGTTCACCTTCCAGCAGGACAACAACCCGAAACATACAGCCAGAGCTACAATGGAATGGTTTAGATCAATGCATGTTCATGTGTTAGAATGGCCTAATCAAAGTCCAGACCTGAATCCAATTAAAAATCTGTGGCAAGACTTGAAAATTGCTGTTCACAGATGCTCTCTATCCAATCTGACAGAGCTTGAGCTATTTTGCAAAGAAGGACGGGCAAAAATTTCCCTCTCTAGATGTGGAAAGCAGGTAGAGCTATACCCTATAAGACTTGCAGCTGGAATTTCAGCAAAAGGTGGTTCTACAAAGTACTGACTCCGGGGGGTTGAATACAAATGCACGCCATACTTCACATATTTATTTGGAAAAAAATTTGAAAACCATTTATCATTTTCCCTCTACTTCACAACTATGTGCCACTTTGTGTTGGTCTATCATATAAAATGCCAATAAAATGCATTTACGCTTTTGGTTGTAACATGGCAAAATGTTGAAAATTTCAAGGGGTATGAATACTTTTTCGCGGCACTGTATGTCATTACTCCCCCCAACAAAGCCTTCATCTTCTTCTCCAAAAGGACAGGGCCATCTTTGTTCAGGCTTCATCTAAGGTAGACATCAACTTCCTGGACTTAGATGCCGGCTCAGACTTTTGTGAACACAGCCTACAGAGGCATGGATTTACATAATTGTGTCATCTCTGACACAGCTCTGCCCCTGCTGCAGTCTAAATCTACCCAAAGGAAGGGATATGTGTCTAAATCTCACTTGCCTCTGAAGCCCGATTCGCATTTGGATCATGCTCCAGAGGCTACTGTTGCCTCCTCACTGCCTGTTTTAACCCCACATTGCACAAAGCAAGGTCCATAAAGGCAATCTGGCAATCCGATGGACGTGTCTGGGTTTGGTGGTTGCCAGGAGAACGGTACTTGCCGGACTGCATTGTGCCAAGTGTAAAGTTTGGTGGAGGGGGGATTATGGTGTGGAGCTGTTTTTCAGGGGTTGGGCTTGGCCCCCTATTTCCAGTGAAGGGAACTCTCTAGGCTTCGGCATACCAAGACATTTTGGACATTTCATGCTCCCAACTTTGTGGGAAGAGTTTGGGGATGGCCCCTTCCTGTTCCAACATGACTGCACACCAGTGCACAAAGCAAGGTCCATAAAGATATGGATGAGCGAGTTTGGGGTGGAGGAACTTGACTGGCCTGCACAGAGTCCTGACCTCAACCCCATAGAACACCTTTGGGAAGAGACTGCGAGCCAGGCCTTCTCGTCCAACATCAGTGCCTGACCTCACAAATGCCCTTCTGGAAGAATGACTAAACACTCCCATAGACACCCTCCTAAACCTGGTGGACGGCCTTCCCAGAAGAGTTGAAGCTAGTATAGCTGCAAAGGGCGGGGCCAACTCAATATTGAACCCTACGGACCAAGACTGGGATGCCATTAAAGTTCATGTGCGTGTAGAGGCAGGCCGACCAATACTTTCTCTCTCCTTTTCTCATTCCCTTTCTTTCACTAACTTCCGCTCCCTTTCTCTCTTGCCCTCTTTTTCTCTCTCATTTCCTCTCTCGATGTTTTCTTTTCTTTCTTAGCCTTTCTTTCTTTAGTTTTTTTTTTTCTCTCATTTTCTTTTCCTTTCTTTCTCTAGCTTTTTTTTCTCTCGCTCCCTCTAGTTTTCTCATTCCTATCTATATCCCTTTTGGGAAATGGTTGTAGTCTTGTCGGGCTCTTGTACTTCTGTTGTTTTTTCTGTGTCCATTATACATACAAACATCTCTTAGAGGAATTCTCCTTTATAGTCACTCTCTGTCTCACTTCAATTAGAGAATTTCCAGCTGCTGTCCATTTGCAGCCACCGGCGAGCTCCTCCATTGTAGGCTGGCGACCTGTCTTCTTTGTAAATCCAATTCCTTTGAACAGCGTTGCCCCAGGATCACTTCTGCTGCTGTTTTGTGTGTTCTATTCTTTTTTTCAAACCTTAAAAGAGATGTATGTCTCACCATCTAAGAGTGGGAACCCTTGTATGTTCTCATACCCCGATGACTTGGTGTGTATCAGGCCAGGGCTAAGTGCTGTGTGTACACTGCAGGAACACAAGGCAGGGTAGTGCAGAATGAAAGCAGTGCCTCCCTGTATGAGCAGAGCTGGAGAGCTTTGAATGCTGCAATCACACTGTGATGGGCTGGAGCGGCAGATTTCTGCATTTGCATGTTTTCTTGTTTTGTTTCAGATCTTTATTCAGCCTCAGTCCCTGGTTTAAGACCTCAGGCAATGCAGGCATCTACAAAAAACCTTCCTGGGGGTGGCATTGTCTGTGGACCATACAAATCCATTTGTATAAAAGTGAATGTAAATCAAACCTTACAATGCATCTGAAGAAAAAGTAAGGAAGAGTTCACACTTTTTTGGTGTGTGTATGTATGTGTGGGTATGTGTGTGTGGGGTCCTGGGGTCCGGGGTGGGCTTGGGGAGGTCTGTGTCCCATTGGGGAGATTTTCCTTCACATCCTGCAGTGATCAGACTCCAACGTGTACCTTTTGTAGCAAGTCACAAAGGCTCTGTTTAGACCTGTGGTTGAGGGGGGCGCCAAAAAATGCGTGGTTGAGCTGCATTTTTGACAACCATTCCCACCTTAAGCTGCAATAAACAGCCGACGGGGGTGTTTACATGCCACGGTCCTGATACTTCGCTGTGCACCTGCGGCAAAGTTCACCAAACATGTAGCTATTGGCGGGCAGCTAGGCCATCAAACACTGCACAGCCTTGAGTGTGCCGCAACTGCCTTGCAACCACATGCAATGTGTACTGGTGCGCAGTCATGTTGGAACAAGAAGAGGCCATCCCCAAACTATTCCCACAAAGTTGGAAGCTTGAAATGGTCCAAAATGTCTTGGTATGCTGATGCCTTAAGAGTTCCCTTCACTGGAACTAAGGGGCCAAGCCCAACCCCTGAAAAACAACCCCACACCATAATCCCCCGTCCATCAAACTTTACACTTGGCACAATGCAGTCAGGCAAGTAACGTTCTCCTGGCAACCACCAAACCCAGACATATCCATCGGATTGCCAGCCAGAGAAGTGTGATTGGTCACTTCAGAGAACACGTCTCCACTGCTCTAGAGTCCAGTGACAGCGTGCTTTACACCACTGCATCCAACGCTTTGCATTGCACTTGGTGATGTAAGGCTTGGATGCAGCTGCTCGGCCATGGAAACCCATTCCATGAAGCTCTCTATGCACTGTTGTTGTGCTAATCTGAAGGTCACAACAAGTTTGGAAGTCTTCTTTAGCTGCAGACAGTTGGCGACTTCTGCGCACCATGCGGTTCAGCATACGCTGACCGCGCTCTGTCATTTTACATGGCCTGCCACTGCCACTTGGTGGCTGAGTTGCTGTTCCCAGTTGCTTCCACTTTGTTATAATCCCACTAACAGTTGACCGTGGAATATTTAGTAGCCAGGAAATGTCACGGATGCACTTATTACATCCCAGTCTTAGTCCGTAGGGTTCAATATTGAGTTGGCCCCGCCCTTTGCAGCTATAACAGCTTCAACTCTTCTGGAAGGCCGTCCACAAGGTTTAGGAGGGTGTCTATGGGAATGTCTGACCATTCTTCCAGAAGTACATTTGTGAGGTCAGGCACTGATGTCAGGCGAGAAGGCCTGGCTCACGGTCTCTGCTCTAATTCATCCCAAAGGTGTTCTGTCGGGTTGAGGTCAGGACTCTGTGCAGGCCAGTCAAGTTCCTCCACCCCAAACTTGCTCATCCATGTCTTTATGGACCTTGCCTTGTGCACTGGTGTCAGTCATGTTGGAACAGGAAGGGGCCATCCCCAAACTGTTCCCACAAAGTTGGGAGCATGAAATTGTCCAAAATGTCTTGGTATTCTTAAGAGTTCCCTTCACTGGAACTAGGGGGCCAAACCCAACCCCTGAAGAAACAACCCCACACCATAATCCGCCTTCCACCAAACTTTACACTTGGCTCAATGTAGTCAGGCAAGCACTGCCAAACCCAGACACGTCCATTGGATTGCCAGACAGAGAAGCGTGATTGGTCACTCCAGAGAACACGTCTCCACTGCTCTAGAGTCCAGTGGCGGTGTGCTTTACACCACTGCATCTGGCGCTTTGCATCGCACTTGGAGATGTAAGGCTTGGGTGCAGCTGCTCGGCTATGGAAACCCATTCCATGAAGCTCTCTACGCACTGTTGTTGTGCTAATCTGAAGGCCACATGAAGTTTGGAGGTCTTTAGCTATTGACTCTGCAGACAGTTGGTGACTTCTGCGCACTGTGTGCTTCAGCGTGCGCTGACCCCGCTCTGTCATTTTACGTGGCCTACCACTTGGTGGCTGAGTTGCTGTTGTTCCCAGTTGCTTCTACTTTGTTATAATACCACTAACAGTTGAGCGTGGAATATTTAGTAGCCAGGAAATGTCACGGATGGACTTATTGCACAGGTGGCAACCTATCACGGGACCACGCTTGGAGTCACTGAGCTCCTGAGAGCGATCCATTCTTTCACAAATGTTTGTAGAAGCAGTCTGCATGCCTAGGTGATGATTGTATACACCTGTGTCCATGGAGGGGATTGGAACACCTGAATCACATGATTTGGAGGGCGGGCCCAATAAGTTTGACAATATAGTGTAAACAGAGAAAGAGAGAGCAAGAGCTAGAGAGAAATAGATAACGAGGGATAGAAAGAATAAAGGATACAGACAGAAAGATACTTGCACTTTAGCAATACTTTAATAAAATAAAACTCACTCCGAGGTCTACAAAGGTCTTCACAGCATTTCTTGCGAGACAAAAGGTGGCGCTCTCCGCTGCAAGAAAGAAAACCAAGACAAGGTATAAGGACAGATCTATGTGCAATGGAATCTGCTTCATCCAGTCCAGGAATTATCACTCGGCTGCTGAACACCATCAGACTGTCCCCATGCAGAAAAGTAATTTACACGACACATTCCCTTTACAGGAAGCATTGTGTATGGTCAGAGGGAACTCTTTCTGAAATACTGAAACTTTTAATGGAATTGTGTACAACTGGTGAACCCAGATGAATTAAAAATTTATTTTTTTTTAGGATTTTTTTTCCCAACATTTTTCTCCTTTGACTAGGAGATAAAGATACAATGTGTCTTTTTCTCCATTCAGGAGGAGGAACAGTACAGGGGTAGGTTTTACTGATTCATCACTGTAACAGCCAATCACAGTATTCTAATGATTGGGAGCTGGTCCCTCCTACCACCTCCTGATCGTTCGTTCGGGACCTGGTGACAGCTAGTGCACTTGCAGCACAAATACTGATGCGTATAAATGCAGCACCTCAGAAGGAGGTCCTGGTGATCCTGCCATGACGGTCCTAGTTACACTTCCTGTTATAAAGGTGGCATTGCCCTGTCCTGGTCTCCCAGTTGTACTCCTGCATTGTCACACAGATTTTAACGGTGACTACAAGTGGCTGTTTCGCAGCACATTACCCAAGCATGGCTCACTGTTGCCACCATCAGGAAATCTGCCCTGAGAAATGCCATACAGCCATCGCTGGAGTCTATGTAGACAGAAAGTGGCTGAAAAGAGGCTGTAGGGGAGCCGTTTGTGTGATGGTGGAGGGGACATTAGAGCGTAAGCTTCTTTGGTGCAAAGGCCGGAGTGACTGGCTCAGTGTTCTTGGTTTAGTGCTATGGAATATGTTAGGGCTATATAATGGTTTTAATGGCTCAATGTTCCCTGCAAAGGTCTGCCGATAAACTGTCAATGCTACATATAAAGTAAAATAAAGAACATTGTCTCCAGGACACTGCAGTCCACTCCAGAGACGAGTAGAACAATTTTACAATGTCACTCAGCAAAGCCAACTAGCTGGAGGACTCTATCAGTGTACAGACAGCTGTATAACAAGACGTCTCAGAGCGGGCTCAGGGGAACCAAACTAAGAGCTTTATGTAAAACTTCACAGCCTGTTATCAGAACTACAACACTGCCATCCACTGGTCACTAATACAACTGCAATCACTTCCACTGTCCGAAAAAAAAGTGTACGTCTCCCTATACTTTGTAATGCACGTTAATGCTTTAATAAAACAGTTTATACCTTACATTTGGTGGGATTTGTAAGGCAACCTTGGCATACAAGTAAACCAAACAGATTTTTATAAAAAAAAAAAGATTTGACATTTTATTACATCAAATACATATTTCCCCAATAAAACATGACAATTTTTGACAGCATGTTAATTTGACAATACTCATATTATTGCCTTGAAAAATAAACAGTATCTGTTGAAGCGGATTTCCAACTTGCAACCTCAGTTGAGGAAGCTACAAGTGCATTCAGCCTATATCCAACACGTTTCAAATACTTTAGTACAGATTCTTCCCCAGGAAACACCCAAAATTGGTCACAGTGAAAATGCTCTGCTGTGTTTTGGAGAATGAATCCCCCACAAAACAAATAGGATGAGGTAATCGCTTGACATTCAGGAACCACAGGCACCGCGTTGAAGAAACATTTTTGGTATTCACCATGTACACATAAAAACACGGTGCTATAGTAGTTGAGCCTTGAAAGATCTGCCATTCAGACTATAACCCATCAAAAAGTCCAAAATGAGGCGTGGTACATGTAATTCCAACTGGGACCAAACACCATTTAACAGCTGCCCAGTGCCTACAGATTTCTACCTGATTCAGTACTATAGCCCACTAAATAGGCAGACACATAAAACAGCAGATCATTTATATTTCTGTAGAGGTGCCAGGCAGTATGTGGCATCAGAAACCTGAATATTTTCACAGGAGATAGATTCATACATAAGGAAATTATATTTTATAAAAATGCTTATTTGGAACGGTTTGGAACTCTAAATAAAGTAATTCTGTGCAAATATCTCCCCAACTGAGAAAAGGCATGGCAAGGGAGAGAAGAAAAGGGGAGGGAGAGAAAACAAGGCATAGCAAAGAGAGAGAAGGCAAGCAGAAAGAAAAAGCGAGGGGAAGACAGGGAAGGGCAAGGCAAGAGAGTAGATGCAGGGAGAGGGAGGCAAGACGGGGCAGGGCGAGGGAGACAAGACGGGGCAGGGCGAGGGAGACAAGACGGGGCAGGGCGAGGGAGACAAGACGGGGCAGGGCGAGGAGACAAGACGGGGCAGGGCGAGAGAGACAAGACGGGGCAGGGCGAGAGAGACAAGACGGGGCAGGGCGAGGGACACAAGAAGAGGGATACAAGTAAACCAAACAGATTTTTATAAAAAAAGGTTTGACATTTTATTACATCAAATACATATTTCCGCAATAAAACATGACAATTTTTGACAGCAGCGAGGGACACAAGAAGAGGGATACAAGTAAACCAAACAGATTTTTGACAGCAGCGAGGGCAAGGCGAGGGGACACAAGACTGGGCAAGGCGAGGCAAGGCGAGGGACACAAGACGGGGCAAGGCGAGGGAGACAAGGCAAGGCGAGGGGCAAGGCGAGGGAGACAAGACGGGGCAAGGCGAGGGACACAAGACGGGGCAAGGCGAGGGACACAAGACGGGGCAAGGCGAGGGACACAAGACGGGGCAAGGCGAGGGACACAAGACGGGGCAAGGAGAGGGACACAAGACGGGGCTAGGAGAGGGACACAAGACGGGGCAAGGCAGGGCAAAAGAAATAAGCAAGCAAAGAGGAAAAAAAGACAAGGCAAAGGAAAGAGAAGACAAGGCAAAGGGAGAGAAGGCAAGGCAAATGGAGAGAAGGCAAGGCAAAGGGAGAGAAGGCAAGGCAGAGGGGAAAGGCAAGCAAAGGGAAGGCAGGAGGGAAAGGAGAAGGCAAGGCAAAGGCAGAGGGCAAAAGGGAAGAAGGCAAGGCAGAGGGAAAGGAAGAAGGCAAGGCAGAGGGAAAGGAAGAAGGCAAGGCAGAGGGAAAGGAAGAAGGCAAGGCAGAGGGAAAGGAAGAAGGCAAGGCAGAGGGAAAGGAAGAAGGCAAGGCAGAGGGAAAGGAAGAAGGCAAGGCAGAGGGAAAGGAAGAAGGCAAGGCAGAGGGAAAGGAAGAAGGCAAGGCAGAGGGAAAGGAAGAAGGCAAGGACAGAGGGAAGGAAGAAGGCAAGGAGGGAAAGGAAGAAGGCAAGGCAGAGGGAAAGGAAGAAGGCAAGGCAGAGGGAGGAAGGCAAAGAAAGGAAGGCAAGGCAGAGGGAAAGGAAGAAGGCAAGGCAAGGGAAAGGAAGAAAGGCAAGGCAAGGAAAGGAAGAAGGCAAGGCAGAGGGAAAGGAAGAAGGCAAGGCAGAGGGAAAGGAAGAAGGCAAGGCAGAGGGAAAGGAAGAAGGCAAGGCAGAGGGAAAAGAAGAAGCAAGGCAGAGGGAAAGGAAGAAGGCAAGGCAGAGGGAAAGGAAGAAGGCAAGGCAGAGGGAAAGGAAGAAGGCAAGGCAGAGGAAAGAAGAAGGCAAGGCAGAGGGAAAGGAAGAAGGCAAGGCAGAGGGAAAGGAAGAAGGCAAGGCAGAGGGAAAGGAAGAAGGCAAGGCAGAGGGAAAGGAAGAAGGCAAGGCAAAGCAAAGCAAAAGGCAAGGCAAAGCAAAAGGCAAGCAAAGGCAAGGCAAAGCAAAAGGCAAGAAGGCAAGGCAAAGCAAAAGGCAAGAAGGCAAGGCAAAGAGTGAGGGGGCTAGACTAAAGTAAGAAAGGGAGAAATTCTGCACCTCAGCTGATCCTGTACACCAAACACATAAGATGACTGGGAACCACATAGAGGTGTTCTGTTCCATTGCCAAAAGCTAGCACTGCAGGCATGACAAGGAGGAGAGGCTTCTAACATTTTAATTCTTTTACTAGCGGTTGAGATTCATGGAAGTCACATAAACAAGTGTTCCACAGAAAGAGTGATTTGTCCTGAAGCTTCACTGGGGTTAAATGATGTGGTCAACTTAGAAACAAATATTGCTTTAAGAACCAGTTAGCAAAGCCTCAGGATGTAAAAAGCAAATCGAAAGACACAAATTTAAAACATAAGACTCAGGTAAAATAAAGCAACTAAAAGCATTTACGGCCTATTCTCCTGCAGCACTGACACAGTAAATCAATTGGAAAAGAGAAAGACAGAAGATGTCAATGAATTCAGGAAAGCGCCTGGAAAGCATTATTGTTGACATGCATTTTATACAGTCTGCACATTTTACTGCGCCTCTAATCCTAAAATCCTGTTTTCAACTTTTCCCCTCATCGATACCCTTATCAGTACTGCAGATGTCCATCAGCATATTTATTTCCTGTCTACATGCACCTGCTTCAGCGTCAGCCACACATCTTTGCTCTAGATTGGACTTCTGATAGTGACAATAGTCAAAGAAACCTGAGCAATGAGTGCCAGCAAGGGCTGCTTTTGGTCTCTGCCAGGGGAAGCTGTATAAAGGTGACAACACGGGAGCACAAATGAGAGACAGGGACAGTGTTGTCATCCTATAGCAGGAAGTGCAAGGACTCTCACTGGCAGGGTAAGAAAAGATAATTTTAATGAAAGCTGCAGATCTGACAAGACATTAACATGATTAAAATTTCTATGAGATGTTGGTGATTGAGTTTTATATTACTGCCGGAGCTCTCCATGGTAAAAATGTAAAGTGAGGATTGACTGATAAATGTGACTCACAATACATGGCGACTCTTCGCTCTGTCCTGGCCAGAAGGTACTTCTGCAAATTCTGGATTAGCTCCCTCTCTGAAACACGACCACTGAAACCATAGATGTAGGAGGCAGCAGAGCTGTAAGCCTCGAGGATGGGGCCGAGGAGTCTCTGCAGGAAGGACAGGAACTGCTGATGCTTTTGTGATGGGCTGACCTAAAACAGGATAGAACAGTTAGAAAGTCTTACCGCCATGGTGGAGGTGTAGAGAGGTACTGACACCTTATTCATGAGTCATGTGACCGTAGCACCCCTGATGCACGAGTTTATTCATGAGTCATGTGACCATAGCACCCCTGATGCACGAGTTCATTCATGAGTCATGTGACCGTAGCACCCCTGATGCACGAGTTCATTCATGAGTCATGTGACCGTAGCACCCCTGATGCACGAGTTCATTCATAAGTCATGTGACCGTAGCACCCCTGATGCACGAGTTTATTCATGAGTCATGTGACCGTAGCACCCCTGATGCACGAGTTCGTTCATGAGTCATGTGACCGTAGCACCCCTGATGCACGAGTTCATTCATGAGTCATGTGACCGTAGCACCCCTGATGCACGAGTTCGTTCATGAGTCATGTGACCGTAGCACCCCTGATGCACGAGTTCGTTCATGAGTCATGTGACCGTAGCACCCCTGATGCACGAGTTCGTTCATGAGTCATGTGACCGTAGCACCCCTGATGCACGAGTTCGTTCATCAGTCATGTGACCGTAGCACCCCTGATGCACGAGTTCGTTCATCAGTCATGTGACCGTAGCACCCCTGATGCACGAGTTCGTTCATGAGTCATGTGACCGTAAACCCCTGATGCACGAGTGTTCATGAGTCATGTGACCGTAGCACCCCTGATGCACGAGTTTTATTCATGAGTCATGTGACCGTAGCACCCCTGATGCACGAGTTCGTTCATGAGTCATGTGACCGTAGCACCCCTGATGCACGAGTTTATTCATGAGTCATGTGACTAAAAACCTTGATGCAGAATGAGTCATGTGACCTCCGAAACACACCCTGATACATGAGTTTATTCATGAGTCATGTGACCGTAGCACCTCTGATTTTACTTATTACAGTTCACTTATATGTGCATCATCAATTTACACAGCGCTATATACACACACACACCAGTATCTGCCCTAAAGGAGCTTACAATCTAAGAGCAGTGTTTCTTAACCTATGTCCAGTCAAGGCACCCTTTCAAATTATGGACAGTCCCGAGGCACCCCTGATGCAGTCCCGAGGCACCCTTTCAATTATGAGACAGTGACCGAGGCACCCTTTTCAAATTATTCCGAGGCATTTAAAAAACCTTGATGCGACAGACTCCGAGGCACCTTACATGAAATTTATGGACAGTCCCGAGCACCCTGATTTTACTTATTACAGTACTTATATAGCACCCTTTAAAATTATGGACAGCGCCCGAGGCACCCACAAATTATGGACAGTTCCGAGGCACCCGTTAAATTATGGACAGTCCCGAGGCACCCTTTAAAATTATGGACAGTTCCGAGGCACCCTTTAAAATTGTGGACAGTCCCGAGGCCCCCTTTACAATTATGGACAGTCCCGAGGCACCCTTTAAAATTATGGACAGTCCCGAGGCCCCTTTAAAATTATGGACAGTCCCGAGGCACCCTTTAAAATTATGGAGAGTCCCGAGGCACCCTTTAAAATTATGGACAGTCCCGAGGCACCCTTTAAATTTATGGACAGTCCTGAGGCACCCTTTAAAATTATGGACAGTCTTGAGGCACCCCATTCTAAAAATAGGGAGCCTCAAGACTGTCCATAATTTTAAAAGGGCACCCCATTTTAAAATGGGGTGCCTCAAGACTGTCCATAATTTTAAGGGTGCCTCGGGACTCTCCATAATTTTAAAAGGGCACCCCATTCTAAAATTTGAAAAACTATTCTAATAGTTTTATATAAGGCAGCAACATCCACACATGGAGGACACCCAACAGAGGTGATTTATTCTTCCAAAGCAAATACACTTTTGCACACTGGTACTGACTAGTATTCCAATGTTTCTCTTCTTCTCCCTCAGTTTTCCTCCATCACTGAGCTAATGTGACCCCAGCACTGATGGAGAGGGGCAGGGGAGGGTCAAACTAGGAGATGCTATGCAGGCAGCTGACATCCTCCTTATCAACTGAAAATGTCATTGGTTGTCAGGATGCCGGTGGCTAGAAGGTCGTAATGGTGCTCAATGACAACCTGTGGCTTTGTGTAACTAAAAGGCAGGCTTGTTCTGCCTAACGGCTTGTATACAAGTTTTGGGCAATTTTTTGAAATTTTGTCAAGGCACCCCTGAGGAAACCTCAAGGCACCCCAGGGTGCCTGGGCACCCTGGTTGAGAAAGGTTGATCTAATGTTCCTAATAAACATTCATACATACACATATTAGGGCCAATTTACACAGGAGCAAAGTAACCTATCAGCATGTCTTTGGAGTGTGGGAGGCAACTAGAGAACTCGGAGGAACCCCACGTAGGAACAGGGAAAACATGCAGACTCCAGGCACGTAGAGCCGTGGTTGGGATTTGAACCAATGACCCTAGTACTAAGTGGAAGTGCTAACCACTTAGCTACTGTGCTGCCCATAGCAGAAGACCCCAACACCTACTTTCAGGAGCTTATGAGTCATGTGACCATAGCCACCCTTAAAGCACAAGACTCCAACATATACATACATGAACTTATTTATGAAATATGTGCTTAGAGAAGCCTGATACAGAAGATAGACATCTACATACATGAATTTATGCATGAGTTGTGTGACTAGCGTGCCCCTGATATAGAAGACCCAGACACCTACATACATGAACTTATTTGTTATCAAGCAGCACAGAAGATAAGTGGTCAGCACTTCTGCCTGGCAGCACTAGGGTCATCAGTTCGAATCCCATACATGGCATTACCTGCCTGGAGTTTGCATGTTCTCCCTATGCCTGCGTGGGTTTCCTCCCAAAGACATGCTGGTAGGGTAATGGGCTCCTGTCTAAAACTGTCCCTAGTATGTGTATGTATGAATGTGAGCTATAGACCTTAGATTGTAAGCTGCTTGAGAGCAGGGATTGATGTGAACATACAATATATATGTAATGCACTGCTGTTATTATTATTATACACATTGAGATCATGTGATCCCTGTGGCCGGTCAGAAGGTTATTATTATTATTATTATACAGTATTTATAAAGCACCAATAGTTCGCTCAGCGCTGTACATTGCAAAGGGGGACAGAACATGTGACAGAACAATACCAATACAATGCAAAACATGAGGGGATCGAGGGCCCTGCTCTTTCGAGCTTACAATCTAGGAGGGAGGGGGTGGTGGCACAGGAGGAGATAGCTGTGGGGGATGGAGTGGTAGGAAGAGTGGAGGAGGTCGGCAGGTTAGCAGGGGGTGGGGTAGGCTTCCCTGAAGAGATGGGTTTTCAGGGTGCGCCTAAAGGAGAGGAGAGTAGATGATAATCTGATGGGTTGGGGCAGGGAGTTCCAGAGGATGGGTGACACCCTGGAGAAGTCCTGGAGGCGGGCATGGGAGGAGGAGACCAGGGAACTAGAGAGAAGGAGGTCTTGTGAGGAGCGGAGTGTGCGTGCTGGGCGGTACTTTGATATTAGGTCAGTGATGCAGTTCGGGGCACTGTAGTGGACAGCTTTGTACGTCAGTGTTAGGATTTTGAATTTGATCCGTTGCGCAATCGGAAGCCAGTGGAGGGATTGGCAGAGGGGGTGGCGGAAATGGAGCGGTTGGAAAGGTGAATGAGTCTGGCTGCCGTATTCAGGATCGACTGAAGCGGGGATAGCCTGTGGCGAGGCAGGCCAGTGAGGAGGGAGTTGCAGTAGTCGAGTCGTGATATGATGAGGGAGTGGATGAGCTGTTTAGTGGTTTCTGGTGTTAGGAACGTGCGGATTTTGGCGATGTTGCAGAGGTGGCGTCTGCACGAGTTTGTTAAACATTGGACTTGGGGCTGGAAAGATAGGTTGGAGTCCAGAATGACACCAAGTACTCTGGCCTGCAGGGCGGGTTTGATGGTGGCGTTGTTGGATGTGATGGATGTGCTGTTGGCGCTATATAAATAACTAGGATAAATGAGTCATGTGACCAAGGACCCTGACACCTACACACATACCACTCACATGAGTCACGTTTCTGAAGTATCCTCTTATGCAGAAGAGCCCAACACCTACATACATGACACACAAAATGAGAAAAATACTCTGGTATATAAGAGGGGCAACCCTTAGACTGAAGTAGTCGCAATTAAGTAGCAGAGATTTTGGTGTGTTTTTGAAATCGTGGAAGTGTTAACCATTTTATTACTTTTCTTAATACTGTATATAAAACAAAAAGGCCAGTCTACTCTCAAGGGACATTCTAGTTATGGCTGGAATTTGCTGTGCCAAGCCAGCCTCTACCTTCTAACATGTTCATAGGTAAAATGATTGCTAGGCAGATTGTAAACGCAAAATGCAGCAAAAACACAATACAGGCTTTTCTTCAGCGTTCCCAGTGAAGTCTATAGAACTAAAAATGCAACATTTTCAGTTAAAAAAAGTCCCTGACCCTTTCCAAAAAATGCACCGGGTGAAAAACGCGGAGATGTGAACCTGTCTCATAGGAAATCGTGTTAAATGGACTGTACTGCGTTTCTGCAAAAAAAAAAAAAAAAAAAAAAGGTTTGAACCTAGGGTTGAACAGATTACAATGAAATAGGGAAAAACATCTGACATGTTTGGGGAATTTTAACACTCCCCCATCATTAGGGCCAGGGACAATCAGCCTAGAGAGGAAAGAGCTAGAGAATGTTTGACAATCTCCAGTTAGGAAATGGGGCCGGTTTGCTGCAGCTTCTAATGCACATTATGAGAAGCTCACAGTGTGCAGTGAAATCAGAGTAAGCATTTTCATTCCAGAAGAGGAACTGCTACAACTGTAGAAAGACTGGAGGTCAGATTTGATGAATACGGTTCTCAGTGGTTGTACCTTCAGATATCGGTCTCTTTGCTCCTCTCCAAAGTCGCTATCTTCGTCTTCCTCATCGCTCCTCCACTGCACACGATCCGGGATCTTGCTATCCCATGTGGGCTCAGAAAGACCAGGACTGGCATCTTCTTGGTCATCCTGGGGAAACCGGAAAAAAGAAAAACACATCAAATTAAGAATCTGTTATCTTTTTCCATAAACAAGCTGAAATTAATAATACATGTTATAATCTGACGGTAAAACCTCCAAGTACATAGAGCAAGGGCCTGCCTGATTGGATACAAATTTGGACAGTTGGGTGGGTTTTTTCATATAAACTTTGGTAAATCTCCACGGGGCGTCTAGCTGCTGTGCCTCCAATCCTGTTACTTCAAGTGGTTCTAAAGGCTCAAGGTTTTTTACCTTCATGCATCCCCCCTAGCCCCCCTAAAACTCATTTAAGACCCCTCTCATTGCAGCAATGTGCACTGGAGTCTTGGCTATCCTGGGACTCCGTCTCCTCATTGGCTGAAAAGGAAGCAGGAGCCATTGGCTCCTACTGCTGTCAATCACAGCCAGTGAGCCAATGAGAAGAGAGAGGGGGGCCGAGCTGCAGCTCTGTGTGTGAATGGACACACAGAAAAGCGGGTGCCCCCATAGCAAGCTGCTTGCTGTGGGGGCACCTGACAGGAGGGGGGGGGGGGGGCCAGTACGTGTTTTTCTTATAAATTTTTGCAAATAAATAATCATTCTTCATAAATCTTGGCCAAAATGTATTCAGCTATCTTTTTAATAAAAAAATATAACCCAAATTAGTTTAAAACCAAAAACTACAATTTTTTAAAATTTCTTTTTTTACATTTTTATATTATTAATTTTTTTTTTTTAACATACCCTCACCCTAGAAGTGCAGTGTCACCATAGCGACACTGTACTACTTGTGGGGGGTGATGAAGATTTATTTTTTTTTACACTAATTGCTTTTACACTCATAAAGGCTGTAAAAGCAATCATTTCGCCTTCTCTCTGGCTGCATTCTTGCAGCCATTGAGAAATACTGAGAGCTGTGATTGGTCACAGCTTGTTACATGGTACAAGGCTGTTGAGAATAGCCTTGTACCATGTGATCTCTGTGATCATTCACAGATTTCACAAGTAGTAACCAATGATGTCAGGAAGTGACATCTTGCTTGCTATTATTCATATGATCACTGATTGGCCAATCAGTGATCACATGAACGGGACCTCACACAGAGGTCCCGTACAGCGATCGGTGTTCCGCTGTGTCCAGAGAACACAGCAGGCACCGGATAGAGGTGCCGTGCGCTCCCAGGGAGCGCGCACAAGCAGAAAATGCGGGTGCCGTTTATGAACGGCAACCCGCTCCTGCACTGCTCCCGTCCAGTTGTTTATATACATGGGCCGGACGGGAAGTGGTTAAAGGGGAAGTACAGCCAAAGATCTTTTATCCGTACTTCTCATGTGGATCACAGGAGTGCAATTTGTTCTGCACTCATGTGACCTGTTTTCAGCCGACAGTGGGCTTCACTCACGTCACTCAGCCGGTCCAGGCTGAGGAAAGATCCCGACTTCAAAGCCAGGATCCAATCCGGAGTCTGGAGCAGCACCTGGCTCAGCCTGTCAGCGATCTGACAGTCACCAATCCCTGCACATAGCAGCTGTGAGAACTCAGCCATCAGCTGAACTTCCACACTGGGGAAATATGTTGTACGCACATATGCAGGTAAAACCAATGCATAGCCATTCACTTGTACAGTAGGCTGCATGCGGTACCTGGGGCTCCCCAGAATTTTACACTGGGCAGCCTCTCCGCGCCTGTGTGCATGGGAGCTTACTAGGAATCTGTTTTGGTAGTTTGGTTCACCCCTTGCAGTTTGGAGGTGTGCACAGTCATCGAGCCACTCATTTTCTTATGGGAGAATTCAAAGCAGACAGAAGTCAATCTCCAGTTGAGGATTCATTGGCTCATTGCTTTCCATTGAAAAGTGATTATCATCTAATATGAATCCTACAGTCTGCGGGGCATTTCTGTTTGAGCCCGATGTGCTCTGTAGTGTTTGTACAATACATTGGCTCTCCGGGAAATATTTGCATCCGAGTGTTACATGCCACTTACCTCGGCAACCAAGAATATCCCGTAAGTGACCAGGCGCTGGACAGCCTCATGACAAACCTGGTAGAACATCTGACAGGGCTGGAAGAGAAAACACAAACAACTACTCTCAGCATGCATTTACCCTTTAAAAACCTTGCGTGCAATTTAATATTGTGGAGTGAAGGGAAATCTCTCCAATGGTGCCCAGCGTAGTAGTAAAAGCTGACCGAGGTCCTAATCCTTCCTCACTACATCAAAATAAAAAGTTTTCGCTGAATTACACTTTCACCACTTCAGTCCCATTTTTTTTTTTTCATTTTTTGCACACGTTAAAATGCACATTTTAGGCCTGAAGTTTAGTTAAAACCATGAAAAACATATATATTTTTGCAAAGCAGAGACCCTGGAGGAAAAATGAAGCTGAAATTTTTTTTTTATGTTACAAGACATTATCTTAACAGTTTATTTTCTGGTTAAAAATACATTAAGTGAAAGTAGTTTTTATAGGCTGAAGGTTTTTTACCTTCAAGCATTCTATGCATGAAGACAAAAAACCTTCGGTGTGCAGCTCCCCCCGCAGCCCCCCCAAAACTTACCTGAGTCTGATCACAATCCAGCTCTCCCAGGTCCCTCTCTCCTCATTGGTAGAGACACAACGGTGGGAGCCATTGGCTTCCACTGATGTCAATCACAGTCAGTGAGGAGGGAGCCGTGGGAGGGCACACAGAGGGGGCTCGGATGTGAACACGCATGAGTGTCCCCAGTGCAAGAAGCTTGTTCTGGGGGCACTCGGCAAGGAGGAGGGGGCCAGAAGCGGCAGAAGGTTCCCTTTAATCTGAGTTCACAATAAACTAATACAATACCTACTTATTTGTGAGTTAAATAGATGAGGTTGCAATGAGTAAATAGATACTAAACATGTCAAGCCTTACACAAGCAATGTTTTAAAAACCCATACAGGTCATCAGTTTAAAAAGAAAATTATACAAACAGACTTAAATCAATACACCCAAAGTCCAAAGAAAGTCCAAAATTTGGAAAAATATACACATAAAGTCCTCAATCTTGATCAATAGATACACACTGTTCCTCTAAAGGATGCCAGATAGAAAGTCCCAGGGATATGACCAACCATGTGTTCCAGACTCCAAAATGGCCGCCATGGCACTTCCGGGAACGTCAATGCGTCACTACGTCACGTGCCCCGGACACGTTTCGTCACATCCGGACTTTGTCAACAAGCATCCTTTAGAGCTGAAGAATCATCGTTTTGGAGCCATCGCTGGGGATTATCGCTGTATACACAGCCTTTATGATCTGGAAGCTGTTGTTATTGGTTTTATATGTAAGTTACTACAATAAAATGTGTATGTTGTTTGATTCATACGCTGATCCCTGGTCTGTTTGTGAGGTCTAGGGGAAGTGTCTGGAGAAGATGATGTCTTTCTGAGGAAACTTCATTCTTAAATCATGGATTATATTTTGGTTTTACTTACTTTAGGGTAATTATGCATTTTTATTATATTGTTTGCTGTGGTTTAAATGGTTTTTAGGTAATCCCTCACTATTGCTGTGGCACTGGAGTGTTTGCATGCTGCACGTGTGGCACTGTTTTTGAAACCTAAGATAATAGACTATGTCTTGGGGATTTCATCACCAATTATCCGGAACAGTGTGTATCTATTGATCACGATTGAGGACTTTATGTGTATATTTTTCCAAATTTTGGACTTTCTTTGGACTTTGGGTGTATTGATTTAAGTCTGTTTGTATAATTTTTTCTTTTTATGTTGGTACTTCAGGGGAAGGATTGTGAAATGACTTAATTGGGTTTTATATTAAGGTGGGTTTGTGTGCTGTCTCGTTATTATTCAGGTCATCAGTTTAGATTTAAGAGTGAATGATGGGCCTGGAATTTTAGCTCTCGCTTTGCCCTGTACGACGGGTAGCGCAATCTCGTCTCGTAATTTTCGTACATAGGTGCCTCAATGCATGAATTTTTTGAATCTACGTATGTGTGTGTCTGTGGGGACAGGAGTGTTTTTATATAATCTGTGTGGTTTTTTTGGTCACTTTAAATATTTAAAACTTTTTTATTAACTTTTATGCTTTCACATAGTGGATCAATAGCATATAGATAGTGACCATAAAAGCCATGCAATTAGCATTTTTACAAAAAGTTCAGCAATAACTTCCTGAATTTCTTACATGACAGGTTCACTTTGAACCCCCCCCCCTCCGCCTTGATATACCAGTTATCCATAATCTGCTGCCCAACATTCATGGGTGCTGGCCCCTCTCACCTTACCAGAGCTATCATTCCTTCATTGGAAAGGAGGTAACACAAGGCAGCGGCGGTGCGGAGGAGTCTCTCCTGGCTAATCGTTCCGTCAGCAGCACCTGTTGTCCCATCTGACCTCCTCTTCAGTTCGATATGTAACGCGCAGGCTGCAAAACGAGAGAAGCCTCTCTTTAATCAACAAATCACAGCTGGCCTTGCTTTACCGCCATATTGCCCACCGGCCTCTTACCCACAATGGCCTCTGTGAGGTAGACATGGAGGACACCATTGCTGTAGAAGTTCAGCTCGAAGACAGCCGGGATGTTGGTGTTGGGTGAGATGAAGAACTCGCTGCCGGGGGTCAGTGTGGGTGATATTCACAGAGTTGCCCAACAGGTGGATGGCATGCATGACCACATCCTCACAGCTTCCCGAAAACCCCAGATCAAAGTCCCGAGCCAAGACCTCCTCCTTCATAGAGAAGAAGTCCTCCACCAACAGGGACAGGCTGACACCCTGAGGGAGAGGAGGGATCACAGGGGCCCAACATGAAGGTCACAGATTTATTAAAACAGTCCTGAGATCAAGATGCGGGTCTACCTTTAAGTGGTTGTAAACCTCAGACATGAAATAGGAACAAGCATATCCCTCTATATTATATGTACCAGTCTCCATCCAGAGCACTCAGTGTCATTTCTGCCTGCTGCCTTGTTCCTCTGCAATCTGACAAGTTTTCCTGACACTAAGAGAAAAAAGGTTTGGCATGCGTCACTTTTCTATGTGCTCCTTGCCTCAAAGGCCAGTTATAGGTTGGGGCAGTTGCCGTTTGTACCATTGGTTATTTGATAAGAGGGGCGTACTGCACATCGTTGCTGCCATTGTGCTATATGTTGGGTTTCCAGTGCACCCTGTGCCTTTAAGGAGGGGTGGGCTCCCTCCAGGCATACCTGCCCTCAATCTATCCATTATTATATATGTGCTCCTACTATGGAGGCTTTAAAAAATTTTACAGAGTTAGGACTGCAGATAATACTGGGGTGCCGTAAAGTGGCTCTGCAGCTTACACATGTATTTGCAAATAGGCGCAGACTAAACCCATTTTTAATGTGAATTGTTAGACAGGACAATTCGGTTTGTTGCAGGCTGGTAAGCGGAGTTGGGAATTTTTCTTCGTTTGACAAGAAAAAAGGTGACGGGGAGGGAGCTAAAGAACACAGCCTGTGATTAATAGTCTCAGCTATGTTCCTGTGTACTGTGTGAAGGGGGATGTGTCTCTTCCCTCCAATCAGCAGTCACAGCTCTCCTCACTTAGCTCTGCAGTTTATTATTTAAGATTTCCACCCCTCTTTTTTCTGATAGTAAAGACAAGCTTTATACATTCTGGACTTAGAAAAGATGTAGAGAAAGAAGACTGCAGATAAACAGGTACAACTTATGCAGGAGGATTTGTCTGTGTGTCACTTCACTGGGTATATAGAAAGGCTTACAACCACTTTAAAATAAAGTGCACTTCTCCCCTTCTTGCCCCCTTCCCCTGGCCTAACCTACTTCCCCATCCCATAGGTGCATATTGACTAGCATCCAATGGCTGCAATTCTGCTGTTTGTTTACATTCAGCAGTTCAAGTCTGTGCAGTTCATTTTTTGCCCTCTTCCCCTGACCTAACCCAATCCACCCTCCCCTTCCACATATGCATACTTACCTCCAACCGATGGCCACAACACTGCTGATTTTTATATCCAGCGGTTCATGTCTTCACTGTTCTGGGTGTCTCTGAGAAATTCCAGTCCCATAGACCTCTACAGGACCGTCTCTGATAGTCTCTGGTTTGGGACACTGCTTAGTAGACATCTATAGGGCTGTAATGCACCGGGCAGCCAGAAAAGTGAAGAAGTGAACTGCTAGATTTAAACAAACAGCAGAACCATGACCATGGGCTGTTAGTAAGATTGCACTGATGGATGAGTAGGGTGGGTTAGGTCGGGTCAGGGGAAAAAAGGATAAATGCACTTTGTTTTAAAGGGAAACTACAAGAATTGTGGGTTCATTTTATTTTAGGGTTCATAAGTTTAAGACTGGGGAAGGTAGAATCAGTACACGAAGCATGTTGATAGGAGGAGAGAGCAGAGTGACAAGAAAGATGAGTTTATGAGCCTGCTACCTCTTGTCTCACTGTCCAATCACAGGCAGGTGGAAGGACAAGACCTGTAACCATTTCCTGCCCTGTTACACAGGACTATGCTGTATGGTGGAGTGATCATTTTTTATTAGCTCCTTGCACAGGACCCCCCCTCCTCCTATCTAATAGGTCAGTGTTTCTCAACCTTTTTGCAGTCAAGGCACCCTTTCAAATAATGGACAGTCCTGAGGCACCCTTTCAAATTATGGACAGTCCTGAGGCACCCTTTCAAATTATGGACAGTCCTGAGGCACCCTTTCAAATTATGGACAGTCCCGAGGCACCCTTTCAAATTATGGACAGTCTTGAGGCACCCCATTCTAAAATGGGTTGCTTCTACACTGTCCATAATTTTAAAAGGGCACCCCATTCTAAAACTGGAAAAAACTATTTTATATAATGCAGCAACATCCACACATGTAGGACACCCAACATTAGAGGTGATTTATTCTTCCAAAGCAAAAGCTTTCACTCACTGGTACTGACTAGTATTCTATGTTTCTCTTCTCCCTCAGTTTTTCTCCATCACTGAGCTAATGTGACCCCAGCACTGATGGAGAGGGGACAGGGGAGGGTCAACCTAGGATGCTGTGCACGCAGTTTACATCCTCATAAACCGATGTCATTGGTTGTCATCGGTTGACTAGAAGGTCATAGTGGCGCACAATGAAAACCTGTGGCTTTGTGTAACTAAAAGGCAGGATTGTTCCACCCTCTGGCTTGTATACAAATTTTGGGAAAAATTTTGACATTTTGCCAAGGCACCCCTGAAGAAACCTCAAGGCACCCTGGTTGAGAAAGGCTGTAAAAGGTCATACAAAATACCCTACACACAATAACAAACCTCAGATGCAGCATGGACCTGCTCAGCACTGTCTGGGACAGGTAACGTTTACACCAGTGGTCTCCACACTGCAGCCCCGGGTGCCGGATGTGGCCCTTTGCTTGTCTTTATCCGGCCCTTGGTGTACTAATCAGCCAACTGAGACCAATGGTAGGACATCATTGCTCTCACTGACAGCACCAATGGGGCAATATTCCTTCCACTGATACCAACAAGGGGCACGATCCCTCCCATTAAAAACAATGATGGGGCATTGCTTGTTTCCATTTATCACAATCCAGCCCACCCAAAACCTGAAGGACAGTAAACTGGCCCTTTTTTTAGAAAGTTTGGAGAGCCCTGGTTTTGGAGACCTAGCAGTGGGTCAGGCATCACATCTGGGGTCTGTATATGGAGACAGAGACTAAATAGAGGGGGGGCAGGATTGTTAATAACAAATGTAGCGTTAAGGTTTGGCAATATTGTGATCTACACGTCCCCCCCGACTCACCTCTCGATAGCGGTACAAGAGAAGGCAGGACACTATGTGCGTCGACATCACAGCGCAGCACTGATCTGCAGCTAGAAGTGGAAAATTGCAAAATATTACAGAATCAATATAGAGAGCAAATGGCACCAATCAGCAGACAGCTAACACTATGCAGCAAACACTGCAACCACGCTGAAGTCCAAGGAGTTCACCCTAAAGTGGAACTCCAGCCTAAAACATCTATTCTACATCTGGATAAAGCAGAGAAAAGTTTTGTCACCAGCACAGGAAGTGAACTGATTTTTAACAGATAACGTGTCACTGGAGCAGAACTCTAGAAAAAATATCGAATAGGGGACACAGGTTTATATAACACCTCAGATATCTTCTTAGATTTTGCTTAGACTTTGATTGGGGGGAGGGGAGGGGGGGGGCGAGAAAAATGTGCGGCTGACCTGCGTTTTTGCTGTCCGCCAACTGCCTCCCTTAACCACCACGCCCGCCATTTTGGATTGCGCACGATCCCTGGGAGCGTGCGGCACCGCGATCCGGTGCCTGCTGTGTCCGGAAGACACAGCGAAACACCAATCAATGTCTTGGGACCTCTATGTGAGGTCCTGACCATGAGGTCCTGATCACATGAAGAGTAGTAAACAAGATGTCACTTCTGATATCACTGCTTCCTACTTGTGAAATTTATGAATGATCACATGGTGCCTGCCATTTTGGTTTGCTCGCGCTCCCTGGGAGCGCACGGCACCGCGATCCGGTGCCCGCTGTGGCAGGAGGACACAGCGGAACACCGATCAATGTACAGGACCTCTGTGTGAGGTCCCGATCATGTGATCACTGGCCAATCAGTGATCACATGAAGAATAGTAAACAAGATGTCACTTCCGATATCATTGCTTACTACTAGTGAAATCTGTGAATGATCACAGAGATCATATTCACAACAGCCTTGTACCATGTGACAAGCTGTGACCAATCACAGCTCACACAGTATTTCTCAATGGCTGCAAGAATGCAGCCAGAGAGAAGGGAAAGTGATTGCTTTTGCAGCCTTTATGGGTATAAAAGCAATCAGTGTAAAATAAAAAAAAAAAAAAATTTCATCACCCCCCACAAGAAGTACAGTGTCACTATGGTGACACTGTACTGCTAGGGTGACGGTATGTTTAAAAAAAAAAAATAAAAAAATAATATAAAAAAAAAAATAAAAAAGTAAAACATTTTTTTTAAAAATTATACTTTTTGGTTAGAAACTAATTTGGGTTTTTGTTTTTACTAAAAAGATAAATTAATACATTTTGGCCAAGATTTATGATGAAAGATTATTTATTTGCTAAATTTTATAAGAAAAACACTTTTCTAAAAAATGTTTGGACTTTTTCAATTATATAGCAAAAAAAAATAAAAATCCCAGTGGTGAATAAATACCACCAAAATAAAGTTTTATTGGTTTTAAAAAAATGCTAAAAAATTCATACGGGTACAGTGTTGCATGACTGCGCAATTGTCATTTAAAGTGCAACAGCACTGAAAGCTGAAAATTGGCCTGGACAGGAAGGGAGTAAAAGTGTCCGGACATGAAGTGGTTAAAATGCAATAAGCAGCGGACGGGGATATATGATGCAGCCACAATGCTTCGCTTCACACTCACTGCAAAGCCCGCTGAACGCTACACATTCAAATAAATGGGGAAGAGCCACAAAAGTCCCACAAAATGTGCAATGCACACAGTTGCAGCGTGTTGTCAGCAAAAATGGGGTTAAAACAGGAGGTGGGGAGGCTTTGCATTGCTTCCTCACTGCCCATCAGTAGCCTCTGGAGCGCGATGTGATCTTGGAATGGGCTTCAGAGGCAAGGGAGATTTAGCTACTTGTATAAATCTAACCTTACTTTGGAGTGTGTTAGACAGAGTGTCGAAGGGTTAGAACCCAGAAGGAGTTCATCACTCATAAAAGTGCATTTAAAGCAAAACTCCAGCCAAAACCAAAAAGAAAAAAATGAATAGCTTGAACAATTATATAGCAAAACAACGTCAATCCAGAGATTTCCCTGCAGTACTTATTTTCTGTCACTAGATGTCCTCAGTCTGATAGCCAGCATAATTCAACCCACTTCCTCTGAACCCACCACCTGCTTGTGACTTGAAAGTGAAAGGAGAAGCAGCACAGTGATGAGCTCTTCTCTCTGTCACTCTGCTCTCTACTCCTATCACAAGACAGTACATGACATGGTTGGATTCTTCAAATGCTTCTTCTCACACCCTCCGGCCTTGCTGTATGGGGGCTACAAAAGGGTGATACCAAATCATAATCAGGCACTTACACTGCTTGTATTTATGATATATATTTTATGATGTATTCATAAAATTATAGAGCTGCTTTAATTTGTGTTTTTATGTCTGCCTGGAAATCAGCTTTAAAAATACCGTGTTTCTTGGATTCAAAATATACCCTTTGATCAGGGCTACAAGGCAACAAATAGGACTTAAATTAGTACTGTATGTAGAAAAAAGTAGTTAGGATCTAAAATAATAGAAGTCTTTGTTGATCGAATATGATAAAGATTTGTATTGCCATCTCTGGGGAGAGCCCCTCTTTCCATTTGTTCTGGAGGACCCCATAACCAGGACTGAATGCAATGAGAAACCCAAAATCTCGAGTTGTCACCAGAACAGTAATAGAGAGGAAATCTTCCAATGGGGACACCTGTTCCAGTGACAATGGTCTATGAGGGGATATATCCTCACTTTGGAGAGATTTCCTTTCACTCCCTGTTGTGTTTTCACAAAAAGTGAAGGCTATTACCTCTAATAGGAGACAGGTGGCTTCTTGAATCTATGACATTGATGGAATCCACTAAGTGTCTATTAGTCTCCCTCTGCCACCCTCATAGCTAGGGGGAAAGAGGGGACTGGAGCAGTCACATGAACACCAATTAAGGTAAATAAATATGGTTGTTTTCCCAGTTTTTTTTTTTTTTCAGTCTGATTCCTGTACTGTAAGTGTAAGGGCTGAAATTATTATTACAGTTTAACTATACTTACTGAACAAGACATGATTGGCCAGACTGGAGATTATCTGCCTCCTGAATGGGCCGTCCAATTTCAGGTCAGGATTAGAAATTAGAACGCTCTCGGTCACGGCATCTGTGGCTCTAAGTAAGGAGAAAGTGTGTGAAATAAGAAAACTAAAATACACACAAATATATATATACATACATAAACACACACATTCATACATACATAATATATACACACACACATACACACACACACACACACACACACATATATATATATACATACATGCATACAGTTAGGTCCATATATATTTGGACACAGGCACAATTTTAGTTTTTTTCAGGTATTTACCAAAACATTCAAGCTATAGTTATATAATGGATATGGGTTGAAAGTGCACACTCTCAGGTTTAATTTGAGGGTATGTACATCCAAATTGGAGGAAGGGTTTAGGGATTGCAGCTCTTAACAGTAGCCATCTCGCCTTTTTCAAGGGACCAAAAGTAATTGGACATTTGAATCAAAAGCCATTTCCTGGCCAGGTGTGGGCTACTCCGTTATTTATTCATCAGTTAAGCAGGTAAAAGGTCTGGAGATGATTCAAAGTGTGGTATTTGCATTTGGAATCTATCGCTGTGAACCCACATCATACGTTCAAAGGAGCTGTCCATGCAAGTGAAACAGGCCATTGTAAGGCTTCAAAAACCAAACAAATCCATCAGAGAGATAACAGCAACATTAGGAGTGGCCAAATCAACAGTTTGGTACATTCTGGGGAAAGAAGAACGCACTTGTGAGCTCAGCAACATAAAATGGCATGGACGTCCATGGAAGACAACAGTGGAGGATGATCGCAGTATCCTCTCTATGCTAAAGAAAAACTCATTCACAACATCCAGACAAGTGAAGGACACTCCAGGAGGTGGGCCTATCATTGTCAAAGTCCACAATCAAGAGAAGACTTCACAAGTGCAAATACAGAGGGTTCACCACAAGGTGTAAACCATTCATAAACCTGAAGAATAGAAAAGCCAGATTAGACTTTGCCAAAAAAACATCTAAAAATGCCAGACCAGTTCCGGAAAAGCATTCTTTGGACGAATGAAACTAAGATTAATCTATATCAGAATGACAGGAAGAAAAAAGTGTGGTGAAGGCTTGGTACAGCTCATGATCCAAAGCACACAATGTCATCTATAACACATGGTGGAGGCAAATGAAGCCATGAAGTCCAAGGAATTGCCCGTAGACCTCCGAGACAGGATTGAATCAAGGTACAGATCTGGGGAAGGGTACAGAAAAATTTCTGCAGCATTGAAGGTCCCAAGGAGTACAGTGGCCTTCATCATCCGTAAATGGAAGAAGTTTGGAACCACCAGGAATCTTCCTAGAGCGGGCCGCCTGACCAAAATGAGTGATCAAGTGAGAAGGGCCTTAGCCAGGGAGGTAGTAACCAAGCACCCAAGGGTCACTCTGAAAGAGCTCCAGCATTTCTCTGTGGAGAGAGGAGAACCTTTCAGAAGGACAACCATCTCTGCAGCACTCCATCAATCAGGCCTGTATGGTAGAGTGGCCAGCCGGAAGCCACTCCTCAGTAAAAGGTAAAAGGCACCTGAGGGACTGTCAGACCATGAGAAACAAAACTCTCTGGGCTGATGAAACAAAGACTGAACTCTTTGGCCTGAATGACAAGCGTCATGTCTGGAGGAAATCAGGAACCACTCACCACCTGGCCAATACCATCAGTCAAGCACCACCAGTGAAGCATGGTGGTGGTAGCATCATGCTGTGTGAATGTTTTTCAGCGGTAGGAACTGGGAGACTAGTCAGGATCGAAGGAAAGATGAACAAAGCAATGTACAGAGACATCCTTGATGAAAACCTGTTCCAGAGCGCTCTGGACCTTAGACTGGGGCGACGGTTCATCTTTTAACAGGACAACGACCCTAAGCACACGGCCCACATAACAAAGGAGTGGCTACGGGCCAACTCTGTGAATGTCCTGAAGTGGCCCAGCCAGAGCCCGGACTTGAACCAAAGTGAACATTTCTGGAGAGATCTGAAAATGGCTGTGCACAGACTCTCCCCATCCAACCTGATGGAGCTTGAGAGGTACTGCAAAGTAGAATGGGAGAAATTGCCCAAAAATAGGTGTGCCAAGCTTGTAGCATCATACTCCAAAACAACTTGAGGCTGGAATTGGTGCTAAAGGGGCTTCAACAAAGTATTGAGCAATGGCAGGGAACACTTATGTACATGGGTTTTTTTCCCTTATTTTATTTTTAATAAATTGCAAAGATTTCAAAACGAACTTCTTTCACATTGTCAGTATGGGGTATTGTTAGTAGAATGTTGAGGAAAAATATGAATTTAATCGATTTTGGAATAACGCTGTAACATAACAAAACGTGGCAAAAGTTAGGCTCTGTGAATACTTTCTGGATGCACTGTGTGTGCGTATATATATATATATATTATATATATATATATATATATATATATATATTACAAAAAATTAATTAAAGGTGACGTTTGTTTTGATAGTATATTTTATGATAGAAAATATTTTGCCTTTCCTGATCCTCCATTCCTCAACAAGCTCTTGAAATTTGTAAATAAAACCTGTTTTCATTACATATCTTATTTTAGACTCATCGGTCTCTGTGCCTCTGTACGCAATGCAGGCAGATCATGGCTGGTGGAACGGCTGGCAGGATGCTGTACATAGCTTAATGAAAACATCAAAGCCCCCTGCCTCAGTACTCCTCTGATGGGCCTGTGGGCTGGCTCTTGGGAGGAATAATGAAATTGTCAAAATGCCTTGATGGCTGGATGTCAGTCTGGAGGAGTGGGTGTTCCTAGGCAGACTAGTATTTGCATGCAGACCACCCTATGTAAAGCCTACATGTGATGCTGAGCCTCTACGATTGCAAGAAATTAACCCTATGAATGAATGGCATTGGCCAGGGACAGTTAGGCTGGACAGGAAAGTGCTAGATGATGCTGGATGTTCTCCAGCTAGAAAATGAGGCGGGCTCTACCTGAGCTGCTGCAGTTTTTAATGTACATTGAGACATCGGAGTATATGGTGTTGCCCTTGAAGTAACACACATCTGGGATAATAATGAACAGAGATACTGCTGGGATTCTCCCTTGGAGTTGTACCTGGATGAGAGGATGGCGGGCAGCAGAGCTTGGTCTAAGCGAAGAGGTGCGGGTGATGGCTTCTGTCTCTGGTTTTCCAGATATTCCTGAAATCACAGAGAAAATATCACATCACATAATACAAACTGTACTGGAACAAATCAGGGCATGGGGACACTCAATGGAGGTCACTCACCTTCAGAGAGAATGGTTGGGCAAAGTCCACTCGTACGCAGCCATAGTTTTTGCGCAGCATTCTGAACACCCCTCTGGCCACACTCCACAGACTCTCGTCTTTCTTGGGCTTTCCCTGAAATGATGACAAATAAATTATTTAGGGCTCGTGTTAAATCGTCTCCAGAAGCCCCGCCTGCTTCTTACAGCTACCCACAGAAAGCAACCATGGGGGTGCAGCTGTACATGAGAATAAACTGGTACTTGCTGGGCTGCTGATAAGGGGGTGAGAGCCCCCCTCCTGTACTATTAGTCCTGTAGGGGGGCCTAGGGGCAAAGAGGGGAATTTTTATTTTCCATGGGGTGCACGTGGAGTATAACATGGTCTGTGACTCTCAGCACTTATAGTAAGGTCTCCTGGGCTCCATTAGTTCAGCAAAAGGGCCTGAGGCAGAGAGGGCACTTTTTTGTGCTTCCAGAAGGAGATGGAGCAATCATAAGTGACTAGGCTCCTGGGAGTCACTCCTTACCCCTGCACTCTGTACGCCACATGCTCCTACCAGTCACTCCTTACCCCTGCACTCTGTACGCCACAGGCTCCTGGCACTCACTCATTATCCCTGCACTCTGTACGCCACATGCTCCTACCAGTCACTCCTTACCCCTGCACTCTGTAAACCACATGCTCCTGGCAGTCACTTCTTACCCCTGCACTCTGTACGCCACATGCTCCTACCAGTCACTTCCTTACCCCTGCACTCTGTACGCCACATGCTCCTAGCACTCACTCCTTACCCCTGCACGCCACATGCTCCTGCCAGTCACTCCTTACCCCTGCACTCTGTACGCCACATGCTCCTAGTAGTCACTCCATACCCCTGTACTCTGTACGCCACATGCTCCTAGCAGTCACTCCTTACCCCTGCACTCTGTAAACCACATGCTCCTGGCAGTCACTCCTTACCCCTGCACTCTGTACGCCACATGCTCCTGGCAGTCACTCCTTACCCCTGCACTCTGTACGCCACATGCTCCTAGTACTCACGCCTTACCCCTGCACTCTGTACGCCACATGCTCCTGGCAGTCACTCCTTACCCCTGCACTCTGTACGCCACATGCTCCTGGCAGTCACTCCTTACCCCTGCACTCTGTACGCCACAGGCTCCTGGCAGTCACTCCTTACCCCTGCACTCTGTACTCCACATGCTCCTAGCAGTCACTCCTTACCCCTGTGCACTCTACTAGTCGCCACATGCTCCTGGCAGTCACTCCTTACCCCTGCACTCTGTACGCCACATGCTCCTAGCAGTCACTCCTTCCCCCTGCACTCTTTACACCACATGCTCCTGCCACCAGCACTCTGTATGACACATACTGCTGGCACTGGCATGCTGTACGACACATACTCCTGACCCCTGCACTCTGATACCTATTCCTGGCATTTGCACTTTGCATGTAGGCTTATTATTTTTAAGCCCCTTCCACTGGTAGCAGAATTTGGTCACACCCACAGTTCACCATGGCGTGCTTCCTTGTTATTGTCCTCTGTGTGTTCAAGGGGTCTTGTCAGGTAGACTGTACAGGGCCCCATGATTTCTAACAGAGGCCCTGGATACTTTAATATAGCAGAGTACAGGCATAGAACCCATGAAGCAGAATGCCCATAGTTGCATGCCTGTGTGTGACTTTATGTACGTATGCCTGGATACAGCTGCATCCTGCAGTTTGCTTTCTCTGGGTAGCTGTAAGCAACAGCTGGGACTTCTGGAGACAATTAAAAGCCAAGTCCATGTTTAACAAAAATAATAAATGCACATATTTTTTCAGAATTAAATGTGGATTGATTATATTTTTTGCACAGAGGCTGCAATGCATTGAACCAATGATGAGTGGATTGTTGGTACAATGCCTGGCTTTTTCAAACTCTTAGACCAGCTCTACATCTGTACCAAGATATGGGCTTCCAATTGCAGTACTAGAAGAAGTGTCACTGGACTTGACCGCACTGGTGTTCCATGGAGAACTACCGTTGGCGGCAGACGGGACCGGTAGTTCATTCGTTCAAAGATCTCTGTGAATGAATGATGCGGCTATGTAGGCGGAGCCCCGCAAAATTCAAAAGTGACAGCAGTTGCAGCCGCACTTCGTGTCGTTTGTGTACTGTAAATCCCTTTTTTGTCCTGTATTTGCTATTTTATCCCTTTTTTTTGTAAAATATACTATGGAGAAAACTGAACTTTTTGAAGTTGAATTGAAGTGGACGGACCTTCACCTCCCCCCCACCCCTTTCCCTATCATCTGCAACTGCATGGCCACCTCCTTGCATACTATGAATTTTCCCCCCGTTTTTTTTTTTAGTCCAGTCCCCACCCTCTGCCCGTCGCTGGAGGCTGCAGGAGTAGAGAACAGCAGCTGTTGGTGTGCAGTGGTCATCATCGGTGGGCAGTGGTCATCATCGGTGGGCAGTGGTCATCATCGGTGGGCAGTGGTCATCATCAGAGGCTGGCTGCCTTAACCCAGAAGAGATATTCTTCTTCTTTCTAATGACTGCAGTGGACCAAAGATGGTGCGAGACCCAGGCTGCTGCACCGTATAAGTGGATCACAGCAGAGCAACTCTGGACCCGTTGGGCAGGTGAGTAAAGCAGCCCTTCCATCTACTTATTGGAAAAGTGTCCTCATCTACATATTGCAATAACATTGATAATGCCCATAACGGGAAGCAGCCCCATCCTCAAAGGGACGCTGTCACCTCATCCTTGCAGAACAAAGTGACAGGGTCTCTGCAATTCCCCTCCTGACCGGACCCCTTATACAACCACACTACCAGCACCCCCCTGCTGCTCTCTCCTCCATCGTGGCCAGCTACCCTTCCCCAAAGAACGAAGGAGACCAGTGTCAGTGACCAGGTCTAGCAGCCAGTTGCATCACATCTGCAGGTCATCTACATCGCTAATTACAGTGAGGGAGGGCAGGTAAGGTAAATAAAAAGGATGCATTCGTTTCCCTCATTTTCTTTTACTTTTTATTTATATTTTTTTTTTTTAAGGGTATATATGGTGAAATACTAAAGTATCTTTTCATCCTGCAGATGGTACTGTGCCTCTCCCTCTCTCTATGCACAGGGAAGGCAGTACAATGACAGCTAAAGGTGGCACACTCCTACATTGTACATATTATACTCTAGATATCCTACTCAAAATGGGTAAATTACTTTCTTGCCCTAAATGCCCTTCTGACAATGGCACGTTTTACCAAATGGCCTGCGAGTGCTTGGTTATACATATCCTTTGGTCTGGAGTAACAGACTTTATGAGCTCCATCCTTCAAATACCCAACATATGTAACCCCTGTAGATGTTTGTTGGGGTATTTAGAGGACTCTGATCTACCTAACTGCACAAAACTTTTATTACGACTATTACTTATTTATGCCAAAAAGGCTATCGCTGTTCAATGGAAATCCCAATATTGCACCACCCTAGCTCAGTGGCTCAGCCAGCTTAACATATAAGGCTTGAGAATTTTGGTATCCCTGGCTGGAATCACAATCCACGATACCACTTGATTAACCTGTTAAATCATCTATGACTGTATAGGAGTGATAGTCTGGATTAGTGGTCTCCAAACTGTGGCCCTTTCCTTGCCTGTATGTGGCCTTTGGGGCATGGTTCTTTCCACTGATGCAAAGCAATATTCCTTTCACTGACACCAGAGTTACCATTCATCCTACTGACACCAATGATGGGACACTATTCCTGCCACTGACACCAATGATGGGACACTATTCCTTCCACTGCCACCAATGATTAGGCACTATTCCTTCCACTGCCACCAATGATTAGGCACTATTCCTTCCACTGACACCAATGATTAGGCACTATTCCTTCCACTGACACCAATGATGGGGCACTACACCTCCCACTGACACCAATGATGGGGAACTACACCTCCCACTGACACCAACGATAGGACATTATTCCTCTTATTGACACCAATGATGGGCCCCTATTCCTCCCAGACACCAATAATGGGACACTATGCCTACCTGGGACACTGCTCCCACTGACACCAATGATGGGGCACTATTGCTCCCACTGACACCAATGATTAGGCACTATTCCTCCACTGACACAAATGATTAAGGCACTATTCCTCCCACTGACACCAATGATGTGGCACTACTTTGCCCACTGACACCAATGATGTGGCACTACTTCTCCCACTGACACCAATGATGGAGCATTACTCCCCCCACTGACACCAATACTGGAGCATTAATCCTCTCACTTAGACCAACGATGGGCACTAATTTCTCTAGTTTGGAGGCCCCTGGACTAGATGGTATTTGGTCTATAAACAGCTATTAGACCCTAATGCTGAAATGATTATTGAGTATATATACCATGTTTAAATACTTTATTCTATGGAACTACTGCATTAACTGGATACGAGTTAACTGTAACATGTTCTTTGCCTGCAGTATAAATTTTTTCTTGTTTTCATGAAGAATACTACAAATTTACTTAAAAAAAAAATGGCAGGGCTGTTGGCAAAAAAAAACCTCAATAGGTCATGATTGGTTGTGGTGATTGCATAGTCAGAAACCACATGGATTGGCCCTTATCAGGAGTCAATGACGGTGCAAGCTCCGGACTAGGAGTGCACACTGCCAGTTCTAAAATGGAATACAGGTTAATGTTCTCTCTGCAGTGGGGAACCTTGCCTGAGAGTGAAACAGAGGGGGTTAAAGCAGCCAAAAACTGTAATATTGGTTGCCAAACCCCCCCCCCCCCCCTAAAAAAAAAATTGTAATTCATTGGACAGTTAATTTTTTTTTTAGTAATTGCTCTAAGAGAGGGATTCTGGTAATTTTGGTTGTCTCACTGAGCTTTTCTGCATGCACTGCTTCAATACCATGGCTTGGCACAAGCTGCACTGTCAGTAGAACCAGAGACGACCTCTCTTGCACTCGTTTTACTTCGTTGTTTGTATTATTCTAAATTTAATAAAATTATGGTTTACTGAGGTAATGCGCAAGGTTGGTGCGCTTTTTGTTTCATTTTGCCGTACAAGCTGCACTGTGCAAGTCTGGCAATTACAGTTAGGGTAATTCTAGTGACCATCTTATTCTGTAACCACAAGAGCACCATAGAAACTGGTATATCGTATAAAAAAAAATGAGATATGGTGACAAAGTAACCACTCAAAGGAAGGGGTAAGGAAAGCAAATCATTACCTTAGAAAACAAAAACTATGCATGGTAACCTTACAGGTTCAAAAACATGATAGGTAATTGGAGGATGGGCACTAAGGAAAACTAAATCAAAATGAAACTGCACACTCACCAGCTGCTCTCCATTATAATGTCCCTCAATGATGCGGTCATAAGATATCCCCACAGGTATAACAAGTACATCAGGGACAGAGCTGTCGCACAGCGTGTCCACGATGACAGACAGGATGCCGGCTCTGCCACAGGAGGTCTTGCCGCTACGAGAGCGTGTTCCTTCCAGAAAGATCTCCAAGAACTGATGCTTGCAAAGGAGCTGCCCGATGTACTGGAAAAAAGGGCCAATGAGAAGATGGACAAAATTACTGCCAAACATAACACATTTCAACTACAAGGTGCAGCTAACAAGGAGGGAAATGTTATTCCCAGACATTCCAAAAACATTCAACTACAAGACACGGCCAATGACAAGACAATGTTATTCCCAAACTTCCAAAATATTCAACTACAAGACGAGGCCAATGAGAAGACAATGGCATAGGCAAAATTGTCCAAACATTCAGCTACATGATATGGCCAACAAGAAGACAATGGTATACCCAAAACATTCAGCTACAAGATATGGCCAACAAGAAGGCAATGGTATACCCAAAACATTCAGCTACAAGATATGGCCAAGAAGGCAATGGTATACCCAAAACATTCAGCTACAAGATATGGCCAACAAGAAGACAATGGTATACCCAAACATTCAGCTACAAGATATGGCCAACAAGAAGACAATGGTATACCCAAACATTCAGCTACAAGATATGGCCAACAAGAAGACAATGGTATACCCAAACATTCAGCTACAAGATATGGCCAACAAGAAGACAATGGTATACCCAAACATTCAGCTACATGATATGGCCAACAAGAAGACAATGGTATACCCAAACAAACATTCAGCTACAAGATATGGCCAACAAGAAGACAATCTTATTCCCAAGCTTCCAAAATATTCAACTACAAGGCATGAGCAATAAGTAGATGGCCAATGCTATTCCCAAATATTCCAAAAACACATTCAACAACAAGACATGGGCAGTGAGAAGACAGAGAATGTTATACCCACTCAACTATAAGGCACATCTAATCAAAAAGAAGACAATGCTATACCCAAACATTCCAAAATCATTCAACTCAAGACACAGCCAATAAGAAGACGACGTTATACCCAAACATTTAGCTACAAGATATGGTCAATAAGAAGACAATCCTATTCCCAAACATTCAACTACAAGGCATGGTTAATAAGTAGATGGACAACGCTATTCTCAAATATTCCAAAAACATTCAACTACAAGACACGGCCAACAAGAAGACAGACAACGTTATACCCAAACATTTAGCTTCAAGATATGGTCAATAAGAAGACAATCTTATTCCCAAACTTACAAAACATTCAACTACAAGGCATGACTAACAAGTAGATGGACGATGCTACCTCAAATATTCCAAAAACATTCAACTACAAGACATGGACAACAAGACCACCATGATATTCCTAACCATTCCAAAAACATTCAACTACAAGACACGGCCAATAAGAAGACAATGATATTCCCAAACATTCCAAAAACATTAAACTACGAGACACGGGCAAAAAGACAGAGTTACACCCAAACATTCAACTACAAATCACAGCTAGGCAGACAATGGTATTCCCAAACTTCCTAAAACATTCAACTACAAGACATGGTCAATGAGAATGTTATGTTATTTCCAAACATTCCAAAAACACTGACCTACAAGGCATGGCCAATAAGTAGATGGACAAAGATATTCCCAAACATTCCAAAAACATTCAACTACAAGACATGGTCAATGAGAAGACAATGTTCTACCCAAACAACCAACTACAAGACACAGCTAATAAGAAGGCAGACAATCTTGTTTCCAAACTTTCAAAAACATGCAACATGTGGCCACTAAGAAGACAAACCTTTTTATGAAACATTCTAAAAATATTCAGCATGGCCAATAAGAAGGTGGACAATGCTATTCTTCAACATTCAAAAAATATTCAACTACAAAAAACGGCCATTGAGAAGGTGGACAATGTTATCCTGAAGGTAAGATTACTTTTGGACCTACCCCATGTAGTAAGGATCTGTACAGTATGTCCTTTTTGCCATCTGAAGTTTCATCAAGTTTTCGCCGAATAAAGAAACCGCCCAGCAAGCGAATCAAAGTACTGTCCAATAAGAAAGCAGCAATTTACCCCACGTTTACAAAAGCATACATTTCATATTCTCACAAACCAACACAAATATACATTGTTTTTTTTATCAAATGCTTAAACCAAATTACTGCAACCCCACCACCATCACCAGATTTTTTATGCTGCATGAAATTTGTTAATTTATCAATCACTTTTTTTTTTTTTTTTTGGAGAGTGCAACCATGGAATTGCAAATAACTACAGAACCCAAAAGTCTCCATGGGTGACGCTTCAACAGCCTTTAATGGTTATCAGTTCAGAATTAACCAAAAATTATGGCCCCAATTTTTGCTCTCACACCAACATTCACAATATCACACAAACGTGGCGCAGTTGGTGTTTACAAACGTGCTCACCCACTGCTGCACTTTTTATTTTTGATGTGTTCAGGGGTGATGAGGGTGTTTTAAAAAATATGTATTTGAGATATATATATGATATATTGATATATATATATATATTTTTTTTTCTGTACACTTTATTTAAAAAAAAGTGTTACTAAACCCCGGATGCTGCATTCACTTTATCTGATCTCCCACATTACACACAACATGGAAACACAATTATTTTAGTAAATATAAACTACTAAATATTTTTTTTTTTATCGGCAGTACTTAGCAGCCTTGTGACTCCTATCAGTGTCCAGCCGAGCACTGGTTAAAGCTTGTAGGAGGCGTTTTCATTCTCCTTTCTCTGTCCTATGAGGCTGCAGGACTCCTTATCCTCTGTCTGGACAGTGCTGATTGGCCCTGTGCTGATCACATGCACTCTCTCCCAAAGGAAAAAAAAAACTCTAGCAATACACACAAAAATGAGCATTTGCAGCTTGCCCCGAAGACTCTGTTCCATCAGGAGATGAGTCAGTGGAAGAAGGGGAGAATCAGAAAAGACAGAATCAAACATCCTTTTTACACAATGCAGAGGATTAACCCCTTAAGTTCCACAGTGAGTATAACAAGCATACTTTTCTGCATATACAGACTGATTTTACTGTTGTGCGGTTTAGTAAACTTTATTGCTATCACTATGGTTAGCACAGTGGCGAAGTGGTTAGCACTTCTACCTGGCAGTACTAGGGTTGTTGGTTCAAATCCCAACCATGGCACTACCTGCCTGGAGTTGCATGTTCTCCCTGTGTCTTTTCCTCTGGGTACTCCGATTTCCTCCCACACTGCAAAGACATGCTGGTAGGTGAATTAGATCCTGTCTACATTGTCCCTACTATGTGTATGTATGAATGTGAGTTAGGGACTTTAGACTGTAAGCTCCTTGAGGTTTAGGGACTGATGTGAATGTACAATATATATGTAAAGTGCTGTGTAAACTAATGGCACTATTTAAATACCTGTAATAAATAAAATAATAAATATCTCACGGGGGCTATGTGACAGCATGAGAAGGTGACAAGTCCTATTTATGAAGACAATGAGGGCACTTTGAGAATCCCATAAAAGTGACCAGCCGGTACCAAGCTCACAGCTGCAGCAGCAAGCTTGATTTACCCACTTGTCTACCATGCCGTTTTTAAACATACCTTGGTAGAGAAGGGGTTAACCACTTCCAGTCCGGACACTTTCACCCCCTTCCTGTCCAGCCAATTTCAGCTTTCAGCGCTATCACACTTTGAATGACAATTGCACGGTCATGCAACGCTGTGCCCATATGAATTTTTTAGCATTTTTTTGAGACCAGATAAAACTTTATTTTGGTGGTATTTATTCATCACTGGCATTTTTATTTTTTTGCTATATAAATGAAAACATCAAAACATTTTGAAAAAAAAAGCGTTTTTCTTATATAATTTTGCAAATAAATAATATTTCTTCATAAATCCTGGCCAAAATGTATTCAACTATCTTTCTAGTAAAAAAAAAAAAAAAAAAAAACCTCAAAATTAGTTTATAACCAAAAAATATAATTTTTCTAAATTTTTTTTTGTTACATTTTCATTTTGTTTATATTTTTTTTAACATACTGTCACCCTAACAGTACAGTGTCACCATAGTGCCACTGTACTACTTGTGAGGGGGGGGTGATGATATTTTTTTTTTTTTTTTTTTTAACACTGATTGCTTTTACACCCATAAAAGTCTGTAAGCAAAAAGCAATAATTTCTCCATTTCTCTGGCTGCATTCTTGCAGCCATTGAGAAATACTGTGAGAGCTGTGATTGTCACATGGTGCAAGGCTGTTGTGAATAACCTTGTACCATGTGACCTCTGTGATTATTCACAGATTTCACACATAGTAAGCAATGATATCAGAAGTGACATCTTGCTTATACTTTTCATGTGATCACTGATTGGCAAATCAGTGATCACATCATGGTATCAGCGCATCAGCTGTTCTCTGCTCTCTCACAGACTTGCGTGTATCTTTTGGCAGACCCATAAGCCTGTTGGATATAAATAATAGAAATAAGACCAAATGTAGAAGGCAGCTATTGGGACTTCACTCATGGTATGCCTGCAGGAATTTTCACAAAATTGCTGAATTTGTTGATTCAACTTTAACCCCCAGCCACTTCCTGTAAGAGGGTGACAACACTGCCTTTCAATCATCAGCAGTGTTGTCAACCTCTCTTATAAATATGCAGGAAACAGAAGTATCGTGGTTCTAGACTCAGCCGCAGTCTCCGCCCACCACCACTGTGACTGGTAGGGCGCTTGGACTTGTAGTCCCAATGTGAGCTTGTTCAGTGATATGCACAGGAGCCTTGCAGGCTCAGTGGACAATTAAATAACTAATAAACAGTATTTAAAGTGGAACTCAATTTAATCAGTATAACCCCCCCGATGATGTTCAAACAAATCCTAATGCCGAAATGCAGTTTTGCAACTTTGACAAGTGTTCCAAAACTGTACAAATCACCGTAACTTGTGTAGTTGTATAACTAGTGTATCCAGGTGAATTATACCGCATTTGTTCAAGAGGAAATTTGGGTCTTCATTTGGTGGTAAATGGAAAGACATCTTTTATTATCAAAGGAATACAGCTAAAAAAATAAAATGTAGCTGTATATTTCTTGCCATTACTATGACCCACCACCAAAAGACAACACATTTTCCTTCTCCTGTCTCGCATGAGGATCTCATACACGTATACATTATTTGCGGTTTGCATTTTTTTATTCTACCTAAAAACAAACACTGGCTCTGATTCCAAAAAACTTTTTTTTTTTTTCAATCCTACATTAAAACACACAGAAACTGACACCCAGGGCAAATTTCTAAAATACTCTCAGAGCTATTCATTTTGAGAAATTGTCTGTACATTCACTCTGTGAACAGGGGCAAAATCAAATGTTATTAGACCATTTACTCTCCGGGTCGATTGTTAATTATCCATTGCAACAAAAAAAATTAAAAATTAAAAGGGAGGGGGTTCAGGAAGATACAACATGACGACCTGATGGAGCTGATAATCACAGTGAACTCCTGAGGAAGTCACGTGATGTGACGTAACGCGTAGGGTGGGAGCCAATGACGTCAAGCCGCTAAACCGGAGGTTTACGAGCCACCATCTTGGAAATTCCTGAACACATTGAAAATAGATTTTAGCAAGGTTTTTTTTTACTGTGTTGTCCCAGCAGGACACTTTTAAATGTGAGTGGACTTTGTTCTCTTAATAAATCAAGCTATATTTATATACCAGGGGCGGACTGACCATTTGGAAACTCAGGCACTGCCCGAGGGCCCGGGGTCAGTAGGGGCCCCATGAGATGCCCCTGGTACCTTTTTCATAGGCTTTTTTGAGTTTGGGCAAGGACACAGGGGCCCCATGATCCCTTATTGCCCGGGAGCCCCATGAGTAGTCAGTCCGCCCCTGTTATATGCTACACTATGGCAAGCATTTCTGTTTACATATGCGGAGGATTTGTGGGATAAAGAGGAGACGGGACAGTTTTCAGCAGAGTGAGGAGGAAAGTGGAGTCATCTATGCAGTATACCTGCCCGGGTTAAAAAGGGAAAGGCGGTATTTGACCTATGCAATTTGGGTCATAAAAGGAGGTGAGAGTAGATATATGTATGTCTCTGGTGGAGGAGCACCTATAGGAATATATGCAGATAGAAGCAATAAAGAGCACCTGTTTTGTGAACAAATTATAAAGGCACTGATCAAGCACACATTATGGACTTTTAAGTTGTATTCAGTGTATTCACCGTTGTTGCATAATCTCATGGTTTGGGTGCTTTAATTCATATCTGAGGTTATAGAGATATATGTGCGGCACTATTATATGATAAATCGCAGTAAGTAATATTTTATTGCCTATGATCACCAGCTCCATCTACTGGCCAGAAAGCGGTATTTTCCTGATTCATTCTCTTCTATATGAATAAAAGACATTTGACCTGGAAAGAAAGAAAGAAAAAAAAAAAAGCCTAATAACATTTCACTTTCCTCCTAATTGCACAGAAAGAATGTATATATATCATCCTACCTAAAACACATGGATGTTAACACACTGTAATTGGCCTAGACTGAGCCCTGATCTATGATCTTTTTTTATGACTTTTTTTTTTTACTCTTCTAGAAAGATGTTCTGAAGTAGAAGAGATAAAGGTAAGGCTTCTCAGACTAGTGATGATTATTTCGGTGATCACATGATCTACTTTTTTAAGTTGAGGATTTAGTTATTTGGTATAGGGTTATTGTTTTAAAAAAAAAATTTTCACAAATTTTGATACATTTTTTTCACCATTTTTTTTTTAAAGTGTTACCAAACCCACAACAGTACAATCAGTCTGTATTTGCAGTAAAGCATGCTTGTTATACTCACTGTGGAACCTAAGGGGTTAATTCTGCACACTGTCTAAAAAGACTGTTTGATCCTGCATTCTTTGTTCCCCCCTTCTTCTACTGTCCCCAATCCATCTGCTGATAGTACAGGGCTCTACAGCAGGGCCGTGGATAAGGGGTTAACACCACTCCTCCTATACGGGGCCCAGGCCAGCCATGGGGAGCCAAGGCAGCTGGGTTAAATGGATGTGGGCAAGTAGGGTGATTAGCACAAGGGGGGGCAAATCCTGAAACCGATCCCCTGTATGGCTCTCTCTGCAGCAGCTGAAAACTGGCTTCTTGTAATCTCCCTCCCGCTGGCTTTCAGCTGCTGCAGAGAGAGCCATACAGGTGCCTGCTGCACCAACGCAGTGCTGCCAGCTTCCCTCCTCTCCTTTCCACTGGCAGCTGCAAGCACATAATAGCATCTTTCAGAATGGAGACTGGGGGAAGGATCCGGTAAATATGTTACATTTACCCACCCCGTTCTTTCCTGAATTAACACAAGGAGTGATCAGTACTGATCGCTCACTGTGTTCCTTCATAACTGAAGCATTGTAAAATGTTTGGGGAGGGGGCTGTCAGGTTGGCTGTATGTGGTTTCTAACAGCAGCACTGTCTAGGAGTCACTCTGCACATGCTCAGTTTAGTGCGTATTGCTAGATTTTTTTATTTTCTTTGGGAGAGTGCATGTGATCAGCACAGGGCCAATCAGCCTTTGCAGACAGAGGGTCAGGGGTTCTGCAGCCTCACAGGACAGTCAGAGAATGACAATTCCTCCTACAAGCTTTAACCAGTGCTCTGCTGGACAATGATAGAAGTCACAAGACTGCTCTAACTGCTGATGAGAAAAGGTATTCAGCAGTTTATATTTACTAAAACAATTGTAGTGAATAGTGAATCCAGGGTCCTGGATTTAGGAACACTTTAAACTTTACTACTTACAGCATTACTACTTTCCATTTGGACCAGAGACCAGACCAGAGAGACCAGAGAAAGACACAGTTGTGAAATCAGACAAACAATGACCCAAATGAAGGGCCAATTATTTAAGGACGTGGCCCCCGGGTGGAGCCGGTACAGACCTGAAAATGGGGATGTTGAGGTTATTCCCCGCTGCAATATGGGGGGCTTTGATGTTGTGGCAGAACAAGACGAATGTAAGGAGAAGGTAGTCGATGTGCGATTTGTGAACAGGAAGGAAGACAAGTGGAACCTTCGTCTACAAGGTGAAGACAAGAGGGGAGAGACATCTGGTTGTGAGAGGTGTGGAGAACAACGTGGGGGATGTACAATCACAAAAAAATATGCTGAAGACCAACCTACCTCAGTGGCCGCTTTCTTTACCATCTCCAGCTGCCCCTTGTGAATCTGAATGTTCAAGAAGAAGCCATTGAAGAGCTTCAGGAGCACCCAGCCTGTCAGTCTGTAAAAGTAAAAAAATCATAGGGGTGTTAAAATGGTTACAAAGCCTAACCATTCCTTACCCCAATGCATTCCTTCCATTAGGGTGAAAAACGTTTAGGCATCAGAATCCCCCCTCATCCTCCTTTTACTTACCGGAGTCCTCATTCAGTCCAGCTCTGTACACGCCTGCAGCTCTTCTCTCCACTCACTTCCTGGTCTCACTGGCTTTGCTGGGGCACCGGGATTTGGCCCCTACTGCTGTCAAAGCCAGTGATGAGGGAGTAGGGGGTGGGTTCGAGTCCCACTGTCTGTCATTGATGCAGTAGTGGGGCTCTGGAGCAAGAATACACAAGTGTCCCCATGTGAAATGGCTTCCTATGGGGGCACTGAACAGAGAGAAGGAGCTAGGAGCACTGGTGGGGGACCCAAAAAGAGGAGGTTCGGGGCCGCTCTGTGCAATTCCATTAGAGAGAGCAGGTAAGTATAAACACGTTTGTTATTAAAAAAAAAAAAAAATTACCTTTACAACCACCTTGGGGAGTTAACAGTGCTGACACATATGCTGTTTTTTTTTTTTTTATTGCATTCACGGACACCAATGTTGGGTGCAATTACTGCATCCACTGACACCAATGATGTGGGTTATTACTGCACTCACTGAAACCAATGCTGGAGGTTTTTGTCACTCACTGACAACAATGCTGGGAATAATTATTGCATAATTATTGCACTCACTGACAACAATGCTGGGGGTTATTATTTTATCCACTGTGACAAATGCTGGGGGTTATTATTGCATCCACTAACACCAATGTTGGAGGCAATTACTGATTCCACTGACACCAATGCTGAGGGTAATTACTGCGTCCACTGACACCAATGCTAGGAGCTATTATTGCACTCAATGACACCAATGCTGGGGATTATTACTGCATCCACTGTGACCAATCCTGAGGGTTATTATTGCATTCACTGACACTAATGTTGGAGGCTATTACTGATTTCATCGTCACCAATGCTGAGGGTTATTTCTGTGTCCACCAACACCAATTATGGGAGTTTATATTGCACTCAATGACAATGCTGGGGGTTATTATTGCATCCACTGACACCAATGTTGTGGGCTATTACTGCGTCCACAGACAACAAATGCGGAGAGTTATTATTGCACTCAATGACACCAATGCTGGGGATTACTATTGTTATTGTGTCCACTGACAACAGGGGAGGGGAGGAGAGGCAGGACATGAGGACATTAGGTTTAGGGTGAAGGTCCACTTTAAAGAAGCAGTAGCATTGGACTGGTCACAAGGACACCTTATCCCTGCACTTCTAGATGAGCATGTAACCCTTGCAGTTCAGAGGGGGACTGCATAGAAAGATTTTACCTCATTCCCGGAGCTTTACCATATGATCACACCCCTCATGCAAAAAATAAATGTACACGTACACGCACACACGCACACACACACACATATATGTATACATACATACACACACAAGATATAAAAAGTCTACACACCCCTGTTAAAATGTCAGGTTTCTGTGATGTAAAATGAGACAAAGATAAATCATTTCAGATCTTTTTCCACCTTTAGCCCGGGTTCACACTGACGCGCAGTGGAATTTGCAGCATTTTCTGTGCACATTCTGTACCGCACCACAATTGCATGCAGTTCATGTAATGGCTGCGGGTGTGTATGTTAACACCCCAAAATCAGTCCACAAAACGTGGTGCGATGTACAGAATCGTATCGCATGGGTATTCACATTCCAGTACGGACCAAAAAAAGGGTCCTGCACCTTTTTAGTGCGGATTTGGTGCGATTGGAACTATACAAAATGCATGGCTCCAATTGCACCACACACGATTTGTATGTGGTACGGTTCATGTGCGAATCACATGTGATATACCGCACCGCATATATGTGAACCCAGGATAAATGTGACCTATAAACTGTACAGCTCAGTTGAAGCACCTTTTGATGTGATTCCAGCACTCAGTCTTTTTGGGTATGAGTCTATCAGCATGGCACATCTTGACTTGGCAATATTTGCCCGCTCTTCCTTGCAAAAACACTCCAAATCTGTCAGGTTGCGAGGGCATCTCTTGTGCACAGCCCTCTTCGACCACCACACAGATTTTCGATCGGATTCAGGTCTGGGCTCTGGCTGGGCCATTCCAAAACTTTCATCTTCTTCTGATGAAGCCATTCCTTTGTTGATTTGGATGTATGCTTTGGGTCGTTGTCATGCTGAAAGATGAAGTTCTTCTTCATGTTCAGCTTTCTAGCAGAAGCCTGAAGGTTTTGTGCCAATATTGACTGGTATTTGGAACTGTTCATAATACCTCTACCTTGACTAAGGCCCCAGTTCCAGCTGAAGAAAAACAGCCCAAAAGCATGATGCTGCCACCACCATGCTTCACTGTGGGTATGGTGGTCTTTTGGTGATGTGCAGTGTTGTTTTTGCGCCAAACAAATCTTTTGGAATTATGACCAAAAAGTTCACCCTTGGTTTCATCAGACCATAACACATTTTCCTACATTATTTTGGGAGACTTCAGATGTGTTTTTGCAAAATATATCCGGGCTTGGATGTTTTTCTTCGTAAGAAAAGGCTTCCGTCTTGCCACTCTACCCCATAGCCCAGACATATGAAGAATAAGGGAGATTGTTGTCACATGGACCACACACCCAGTACTTGCCAGATATTCCTGCAGCTCCTTTAATGTTGCTGTAGGCCTCTTGGCAGCCTCCCAGACAAGTTTTCTTCTCGTCTTTATATCAATTTTGGAGGGACGTCCAGTTCTTGGTAATGTCACTGTTGCACCATATTTTCTCCACTTGATGATGACTGTCTTCACTGTGTTCCATGGTATATATAATGCCTTGGAAATTCTTTTGTACCCTTCTCCTGACTGATACCTTTTAACAATGAGATACCGCTGATGCTTTGGAAGCTCTCTGTTGACCATGGCTTTTGCTGTAGAATGCAACTAAGAAAATGTCAGGAAAGACCTACTAGAACAGCTGAACTTTATCTGGGGTTAATCAGAGGCACTTTAAATGATGGCAGGTGTGTACTATTTAACATGATTCTGAATGTGATTGCTTAATTCTGAACAGAGCTACATCCCCAGTTATAAAAGGGTGTGCACACTTATGCAACCACATTATTTTAGTTTTTTATGTTTACTTCCCCCCTAAAAGATTTCAGTTTGTTTTTCAATTGAGTTGTACAGTTTATAGGTCATTTTAAAGATGGAAAAAAATTCTGAAATGATTTATGTTTGCCTCATTTTTTTTACAGCACAGAAACCCAACATTTTAACAGGGGTGTGTAGACTTTTTATATCCACGGTACGTATACACAGACACACTTCAAAAAAATTAAAGGAACACTTTTTAATCAGAGTCTAGCACAGCAATGGGCAAACTACGGCCCGCGGGCCGTATATGGCCCGGCGGACCTTTTAATTCGGCCCGCGGAGCTAGGCTCCTCTCACAGTCCGCCCTGAAGACCGGTGTAGCATGAAAATCTGTCTCCTATGAGGATCTGTCCCCCTCGACGTATCTGCGCATGTGCCGGAGATCTCCGATCGGCTGCTATGCCTGAATCTGGCACATGCGCAGATACGTCGAGGGGGACAGATCCTCATAGGAGACAGATTTTCATGCTACACCGGAACGGCGCGGGAACACGGCGAGAGGAACGCGCGGAGCAAAGGTAAGTAAATTGACACAGGGGGGACTTGGGGACTTAATATGAGGGATGAATTAATATGGAGAATGAATTACTATATTTGGGGAGAATTACTATGGGGGATGAATTACTATGGGGGATGAATTACTATATGGGGGATGAATTACTATGGGGGGATGAATTACTATGGGGGATGAATTATGGGGGATGAATTACTATATGGGGATGGGGATGAATTACTATATGGGGGATGAATTACTATATGGGGGATGAATTACTATATGGGGGATGAATTACTATATGGGGGATGAATTACTATATGGGGGGGATGAATTACTATGGGGGATGAATTACTATATGTGGGGAATGAATTACTATGGGGGACGAATTACTATGCTTACTATGGGGGAATATTACTATACTTACTATGGATGACACATACACATCATTCATCTACTCTTGGTCCGGCCCCCGGGTCCAATATATGAACCCATTGCGGCCCTCAAGTCAAAACGTTTGCCCACCCCTAGTCTAGCATCAAGTCAACTAAACTCCTGGGATATTGTTCTGGTCAGGTAAGTAGCAGAGGGGCTTGTTAATCAGTTTCAACTGCTTTGGTGTTAATGAAATTAATAAAAGGTGCACTAGATGGGCAACAATAAGACAACCCCTAAAACAGGAATGCTTTTACAGGTGGAGGCCACTGACCTTTTTTTCCTACTCATAATTTTTTGACTGTTTTTCACTAGTTTTGCATTTGGCTGGGTCAGTGTCACTACTGGTAGCAAGAGGCCATACCTGGACCCTACAGAGGTTGCACAGGCAGTCCAACTCCTCCAGGATGGCACATCAACATGTGGCATTGCCTGAAGGCTTGCTGCGTCTCCCGGCACAGTCTCAAGAGCATGGAGGAGATTCCAGGAGACAGGCAGTTAGTCTTGGAGAGCTGGACAGGGCCGTAGAAGGTCCTTAATCCATCAGCAGGACCGAGTATCTACTCCTTTGTGCAAGGAGGAACAGGATGAGCACCGCCAGTACCCTAGAAAATGACCTCCAGCAGGTCAATGGTGTGAATGTCTCTGACCAAACAATCAGAAACAGACTAAATGAGGGTGGCCTGAGGGCCCGACTTCCTCTAGTGGGCCCTGTGCTCATTGCCTGGCACCATAGAGCTCGATTGGCATTTGCCATTGAACACCAGAATTGGCAGGTCCACCACTGGCACCCTGTGCTTTTCACAGATGACAGCAGGTTCACCCTGAGCACATATGACAGACATGAAAGGGTCTGGAGTAGCCGTGGAGAATGTTATGCTGCCTGTAACATCGTTCAGCATGACTGTTTTTTGTGGTGGGTCAGTGATGGTCTGGGGAGGCATATCCATGGAGGGACGCACAGACCTCTACAGGCTAGACAATGGTACCATGACTGCCATTAGGTATCGGGATGAAATCCTTGGACCCATTGTCAGACCCTACACTGGTGCAGTGGGTTCCTTCTGGTGCACGACAACACCTGGCCTCATGTGGTGAGAGTATGCAGGCAGTTCCTGGAGGATGAAGGAATTGATACCATTGAATGGCCCCCACGCTCGCCTGACCTAAACCCAATAGAATACCTCTGGGATGTCATGTTTCGGTCCATCCGACGCCTCCAGGTTGTACCTCAGACTGTCCAGGAGCTCAGTGACCTGGTCCAGGTCTGGGAGGAAATACCCCAGGACACCATCCGTCGTATGTTGTCAGGCATGCATACAACACGTGGGGGCCATACAAACTACTGAGGACCATTCTGAATTGCTGCAATGATATTTCAGCAAAATGGACTAGCCTGCTGCATCATTTTTTTTCACTTTGATTCTGTAGGTTGGTGATTTTCATTTCCATCAAACGATGGGGCATTCTTACATTCCTAACACATTACCCTGCCCATATCAGTATAGAGATCCAGCATGATATTCTTCCCCATTGAGAGCTGATGTGTTTTCAAAGTCTTCCTTTCATTTTTTTGAGCAGTGTACATATGTAGGATTTGATCTCAGACATCTCTCTATTGTGAAGGTTAGACGCACAATGGAGTATGTAGCTCTCCCCCAAATGTATCACTTTGAGGTGGCCATTTGCAACATGTATTGCCATAGATGTGAACCAAGAATCTTTGCTTTTATACAAATGTTTGCTAGAAATATGTGGAAGTGTATAGCAGAGTGCAGAGGGTTAAATCAGAATTGTGAATACTTTACAGGAGACACAAGCACGGACCTGATCAACGTTGGGGATATAGATGCCACCATCTCCTGCAGGATCTTCTTGGCTTTCCTCTTGACTTTGTTGGTAGACTTGGGATCTGCAGTTCCAGTAGGACTGGCCTCTGCTGCTACAACTTCTATGGCTTCTCCCACCCTGAAAAGGAAGGAGACCATGAACAAGTGATAGTGAACACACACAATGTGTGTCAATATCCAGATACCTCCTGTAGATCATTCCTCCTTGTAGTGTAAAAAAGAAAAGACAGGACATCTAAGAATGGCCAAACATTGGGCAGACCTGTTATGCTTGGGGCAACCTTGGAACTGTAATTAGATTTGAGTCAAAATGGGGTTAGAGGCGAATTCCAAGAAAAGAGCCAAATGCACAGCAGGACTACAAACGTGGACTGTCAAAGCTGTCAAAATATTGGTAATTCTATTCAAACAGTCTTGTCATCCAAGAACTTCTCCCAGACAGTACAGCCAGGTCCTTTATACCTCACCTCACTGCAGGTGAGCAATACAGCCTGATCTATGACTCATCCCATCCTGTGATTGGCCAGCAAAGGGACAGCAGACTGATGAGGTCATTCTTCTACTCTCTCCTCATACCAGTATGTCATTGTCCACATGTGCACTTCAGTAGAGTCTAACTGGCTCCCAATGCTTTTCCTCCAGCTTCCAGTGTTGCCTTGTAGAGGGATCAGAGGAGGAAGATACTAGGCGAGATTCAGGTATGTCTGCCAATTTTTCTTTAACCCCTTGAAGCCTACCATACGCAAATGTGTGGCCTTTTGGCTGCTGGGCCTTGACACCAAATGGGCGCATATTTGCGTACCAATTGAAAACACATATGTGCTGAGAGAGAGTGCCCTGCGCACTCCCAGCACGTTTCGGTGTCTCACGGAAAGGTCCCGATCTACCCTTGCAATTGGGATCTTTTCCGATCATGTGACCGACGTGACAGCAAATCATAGAAGTCACATGACCTTAAAACACCACCCACCAGCGTCTGAAACCCCTTAAAGGTCCGCATGTGCACTTCAATAGAGTCTGACTGGCTCCCAATGCTTTTCCTCCAGCTTCCAGTGTTGTCTTGTAGGGGGATCAGAGGAGGAAGATACTAGGTGAGATTCCGGCATGTCCACCAAATTTTTTTTTTTTTAATTTTCTTTAACCCCTTGATGCCTACCGTACGCAAATATACGGGCTTTTGGCAGCTGGGCCTTGACGCCGAGTGGCTGCATATTTGCATACCTTTTTAAAACACATATGTGCTCAGAGTGCACGCCCTGCACGCTCCCAGTGCATATGTCGGTGTCTCACGGAAAGGTCCTGATCTCCCCTTGCGATCGGGACCTTTTCCGATCCTGTGTCCGCCATGACAGCGAACCACGGTGGTCACATGACCCTAAGATCCCCCCCCCCCCCCCCCGGCGTCTGAAACCCCTGAAAGTGCCGGGAGGCGCCGGAGTGAAGAGGTTAAATTCACCTTTGAAGTCAAAACTTTTTATTCTAGTTTTAGATCGCGCAAGAAAAAAAAGATTAGCACCCTTTTGCTGCCTGTGTCACCGCTAGGGAACAGGAATGGAGGTGGACCCCTCTCTAGGCAGGAGTTACCCTTTGGGGAGATTTCCCCTCACTTTCTGTTATATGTACAGGACAGGAAGTGACATGAAATCCCTTTGAATATACGAATGCTTTGAATATTAGAAATGAATGATAGAGCGTTTTTGGTTTGTGGTGCTCAGATGCAGCAAGTTCATAGGGAGCAGAGTGGTTCTGGTGACGCAGCTCTCCATAACAGAGTACTCCTCATCTAGGGGAACCAAAGTTTAAAGCTGAATTTTAGGAATGGTTATTCTTCCATAGTTATGAAGGTCCAGCGTGGACAATGTAACCATACCTGTAGGATCCCTCTAGAAACTGAAAATCATTGTAGACTACACTGCTGACTTCCAGGTCCCATTCCTAGTGGCTGCCTTGCTGCATACTTAACACAGCAGGTTGCTCACTAAGCAGCTCTTGATTGGATGAGATGGAGACGCAGAGATGTGACATCACAATCTCCATCTTGTCCAATCAGAGAACATTTTGTATTTATTGAGAACATGCAAAGTGTTCTCGGCAAGGTACCTTGCCAAGCCAATGACCTCCAGTGTTCACAATGCAGAAGGCAGCCGCTTGGCACAGGACCTGCTAGCAAGTGGAGATCATTGGAGTAGCGGTGTGTACTCCAGTGATTTCCAGCTTCCATGGGGATCCCACAGGGATGGGCCTATGGAACTATTCAAAAATAGCCATACCTAAACCTTAGCTTTATTATCCTCCTGTAAAGAGTCTAATGAGAGCACCAGACCAAGGATCTCAGAGTACATTGTTTGAATTTCAGCAGAAATCACATTTGAGCGCCGGTTGGCCCTACTGGCACCCCTCCACTTGACAAACGTCGAAGGAGCCAGTTGGAAAATTTTCAAGAATGCAGTGCCTGCATCCCGTCTCGCCCTGTCCGCGTCCCATCTCGCCCTGTCCGCGTCCCACCTCGCCCTGTCCGCGTCCCACCTCGCCCTGTCCGCGTCCCACCTCGCCCTGTCCGCGTCCCATCTCGCCCTGTCCGCGTCCCACCTCGCCCTGTCCGCGTCCCACCTCGCCCTGTCCGCGTCCCATCTCGCCCTGTCCGCGTCCCATCTCGCACTGTCCGCGTCCCATCTCGCACTGTCCGCGTCCCATCTCGCACTGTCCGCGTCCCATCTCGCACTGTCCGCGTCCCATCTCGCACTGTCCGCGTCCCATCTCATACTGTCTGCTAAGACTGGATGGAGGAATTGAGTGGTTACACTTGTTCAGCCAGGGAGAAATCTACATCTCTATGGCCATTCTAACGTGACACTAAATAAAAAATAATCCAGACACATCCACACTTACTGTGTTTTTCTGCCTTCTTATAATGTCCTCCATGAACCCCTCCTTTTCCCCCTCACTTCCATTTGATTGCAACAAGCAGTGCACATACTTGCAGTCATGTGCACTGCTCTATGGACTCCACCAAATCCCACAGTCCATCTTGGGAGCAAGCAGCAGAGGGTGGCTACACTCCTACATACACTGGGACCATTGAGAATGAATATAGACACTATTTAAAAGGAAGTCAGATCACAGCAGCATATAAAAAATAATAATCCTGAGATTTGTAGAAGGCTGAGAACAGTCAGGGAGTTTTCTGAGTTGAAGTGTTACTAAACCCCAGGACTATGGCATTCACTATATCCGGCCTTCCACAGAACGTGGAAATGATATTATTTTAGTGAATACAATACAAAGTTTTCTTTTTTCCCCTCTGTTTTCACCTGGTGATATGACCAGTTACACACCTCCTGTATTAGACTGCCCCACTCTGGATGAAGAAGCACAGGGGGCACCTTTGGAAAGCAGCATTGTCAGTCTGGGGGGAGGGGAGTGTTAAATGTACTAGCAGATTTAAATACACTAACACATCGAAGCCAAACTGCAGCTAACACTTTATAAGCCATTACTGCAAACAGTTTTTCTCCTTTTGGGATAAAGACTTTGCATAAATAAATAGAAGATGATCACGTTAAGTCAGTGGGTAATGGTTTGTCTCAAGCCCCTAACTGCTACATCTGCAGGAGAGCTTGCTGTGTTGAAAAATAACACATACTGGCTAGATCACCAAGTTAAAAAAAAAAAGGAAATAAAAAGTCTAAAAAAAAAAGAAAACTAATGCAGCCATCACAACTTCAGCTTTAAGCAGTAAGAACACGCCTGGGGTTGTAATCCTTCTCTGCTATAGCCAAAAACAAAACAAAAAAAACATTTTGGACACAAATTCTTCTAAACAAATATAAGAAACACATCTACTGCTACAAAATATTTATGTTGGCTCCGGGAAGAGCTGGCAGTTAATATCTGACTCAATGTCCCCATCACAGCGGTCCCCGTGACCTCACCTGCTCTGGCTCAGCACCGCCTCCGCCATATTGCTGCAGAACATGGCCTTGCTGACGTCCCGTTCCTGGACAAAGAGCACGTAACAGAGGCGACGAGCCAGCCATCCGCGGTGTCTGCAAGAGAGAAAGCAGCCAATCAGAGAGGGGGCGGGTGGGACAATCACCTATCACCTGTGGAGGCTCGGCACCATTACACAACAAGAGTGTCCTCAGTCAATTGGTCGCCAGATACTAAAAAAAGAACCTTCTAAATATAGGTCAAGGATAAAAATACCACATGTGCCAAATTCACACAAAAGTATAAATAAAGTGAAAAAGTCAACAATATGTACTCTGCGGCTCCATTCACCCCACAGAGGTGCGACCATTCGTGCGCACACACTTTTTTTTTTGCACACTATTTAGAGTCACCCATTAAATTGAGAAATGTGCAAAAAGGTGCCTGCGGTATTTAAAACCGTGGGCTGCACCAAAAACGCATGTTACTGTTGTACAATGGTGTTTTGGCACATGCAAACGTGCACACATTTGCAAGACGTGGGGTGCATTTAACCACTTCCCGCAGGTGGCAGTGCAGGGTCGGGTGGCCATTTATAAACGGCCTCCCCGCTCCCTGCTTGTGCACGCTCCCTGGGAGCGCACAGCACCGCAATCCGGTGCCCGCGCTGTGTCCTCCGGAAACAGTGGAACACTGATCGTCAGACGGGACCTGTGTGTTAGGTCCCGATCATGTGATCACTGATTGGCCAATCAGTGATCACATGCAGAGTAGTAAGCAAGATGTCACTTGTAACATCATTGCTTACTACGTGTGAAATCTGTGAATGATCACAGAGGTCACATGGTACAAGGCTATTCACAACAGCCTTGTACCATGTGACAAGCTGTGACCAATCACAGCTCACACAGGATTTCTCAATGGCTGCAAGAATGCACCCAGAGAGAAGGAGAAATGATTGCTTTTACAGCCTTTATGAGTGTAAAAGCAATTAGTGTAAAAAAAAATAAATATCCTCATCACCCCCCACAGTACAGTGTCACCATGGTGTCATTATCGGCCATGGTGAGACTGTACTGCTAGGGTGACAGTACGTAAAAAAAAAAAAATGTTTAAAAATTAAAATTTTTGGTTATAAACTAATTTGGGTTTTTGTTTTACTAAAAAGATAACGGAATAAATTTTGGCCAAGATTTATGATGAAATATTATTTATTTGCCAAATTTTAGAAGAAAAACACTTTTCAAAATTTTTGGACTTTCATTTACATAGCAAACAAAATAAAAATCCAGCGGTGAATAAATACCACCAAAATAAAGCTTTATCTGTCTCAAACAAATGCTAAAAAATTCATATGAGTACAGTGTTGCATGACCCGCGCAGTTGTCATTCAAAGTGTGACAGCGCTGAAAGCTGAGAATTGGCCTGGACAGGAAGAGGGTAAAAGTGTCCGGACTAGAAGTGGTTAAAGTGGTTGTAAACCTCAGACATGAAATATGAACAAAGCATACCCCTCTATAGTGTGTACCGGTCTCAATCCAGAGCTCCAAGTGTCGTTTCTGTCTTCTGCATCGTTTCTCAGCTATCAGCATGAGTCACTTCTGACATGTTTTTCTGACACCAAGAGAGAAATGGTGACAAGGGAGGGCACAGTGTGTGATTGACAGCCTCAGCTCTGTTCCTGTAAGCTGCGTGGAGCTTCCGTCCAATCCAATTTCCTTTCCTCTGCAGTGTATATTTTCAGTTCTCCACCCCCTGATTTTCTGAACTCTCAGACAAGCTTTATAAATTCAGCACTTTGAACGGATGTAGAGAAGAGGAGACTTCAGATAAACAGGTACAACTTATGTAAGAGGATTTGTTTTATCTCTGTGTATCCCCTGAGGCCAGTCACGTCACTGGGTATATGTGAGGGTTTACAACCACTTTAGGAATTAAAAGCAACTGTGGCATCTCTGCAAAGGAGCAGCTTGTTTAGGTGCGTTGCGGGAAAGTGTGCAATTTTGAGTGTGTTCCCACAAAGCACTGGTGTGCACAAAGCCTAAGGCCATGAAGAGATATTTATAGACCGCCCCGTGAGGACGTCGGTGACGAAACGCGTAGGGCGTGGCCTACTGGATGCCGATGTCTGAGACAGTCTCTGGATCTGAAAGGAGGGGATCCGTGGTGAACGGGGTTGTGTTCATGTACCGTTGCTTAAGTCTATGCTTTTGATACTGGTGTCGGTGTAGACACCTCACTTGTGAGTTTTATTCATTCATTAAAAGTTTGTTACATTTTTTAAACTTGCAGCACCATAATCTATTTCTTTTACCTTTAAACATGGTCCCAATGGTATGGAGGTATATGAAAGAAAGGTGATTTATACTCCTGGAAATTATCTATATCCTTGAATGGTGGCTATTCATCCGATGGGATTTCGTTTGTTTGCACAGCATTGCATCCAGGAACTGGATTGATATATATTGCTCCCAGAGCAAAAGTGCTTTTTGCTGGTCCAATTATTGATCAGCATTGAGCTCTGGTGAGTGATTCCATTTCTTTGGTGGTGGATTCAGCACAGTGTGGACATTATTTGAAGACTTTTGAACATTTATGAACATTTTCTATATATTTTTTTCACAATTCTTTATTATTTATTTAGTTATATATTTATTTAGCGCATTCCTTATATTTGTTTGAGCAAAAAATTATTTTCGATTTTTTGAAGTAGGAATCTGCTGCTTTAGAGTTTTAGGGTGTGGTGCTTTTCTAAAAAACACTTTGATTTATAGACCTGCCTATAATTACATCAAGCTGTAAAATGTATAATGTCCGCCACCATTTCTAGTTAAGTGTATGCAAAGCCAAAACTTTGTTGTAGTTATGGATGAAAATGACAGGTTAGTAGTGATGCACCGATATATCGGCGCGGATAGGAAAAAAAAAAACTTCAATGCAAAAATCACATCCCATTTGATTTTAATGCAAAACCGCCCCCACTGACCAATTCAAAAAACGCCTCAATCGGCTTCAATGCAAACATGCCAACACCCCCAATCGACTTCAATGCAAACACGCTCCACCCCATCGACTTATTATTATTATTACTACAGGCACTTATATAGCGCCGTCAATTTATTCAGCGCTTCACATACATATTGTACATTCACATCAGTCCCAAACCCTCAAGGGCTGTACAATCTATGGTCCCTAACTCACATTCATACATAAACATACTAGGGCCAATTCAGACAGGAGCCAATTAACCTACCAGCATGTCTTTGGAGTGTCGGAGGAGGAAACCCACGCAGGCACAGGGAGAACATGCAAACTCCAGGCAGGTGGTGCCATGGCTGGGATTCGAACCAATGACACTAGTACTACCAGGCAGAAGTGATAACCATTTAGCCACTGTGCTGCCCACTTCAATGCAAACATGCCCCCCCCCCCCCCCATCGACTTCAATGCAAACACGCGCCCCCCCCCCCCCATCGACTTTAATGCAAACAGGCCTCCCATCGACGTCAATGCAAAACACGCGCACCCCTCCCCCATTGACGTCAATGCAAAACCCCCCCCCCCCCCCCCCCCCATTGACTCCAGTGCAAAATCACGTCCCGCCGACTCCAGTGCAAAAATCACGTCCCGCCGACTCCAGTGCAAAATCACGTCCCGCCGACTCCAGTGCAAAATCACGTCCCGCCGACTCCAGTGCAAAATCACGTCCCGCCGACTCCAGTGCAAAATCACGTCCCGCCGACTCCAGTGCAAAATCACGTCCCGCCGACTTCAATGCAAAATCACGTCCCACTGACTTCACTTTCACATATATTTCATTTTCTGTCCAATTTGTGTGTTACTTTCAATAAAAGTTACTGGACTGTATTTCTTAAATTCATTGTCCTTTAAATTCATGGTATTCATTAAAAAGTCGATTACAAATACAATTATAAATAAAAAATATATCTTTTTTAAAAAAGCTTTTCATTTTGGTTTCGGATTTCGGCCAAGTGCATCCTGAATTTTCAGTTCCGGCTCAGAATTCTCATTTTGGTGCACGATTAGAGGTTAGAGCCTCTGCCAGGTTTTTTATTGCCGAGGGCACCACCAAAAGCCAGTTAGGCTCGCTGCATGGTCATGTGCTGAGAAGGAAACATGATGGCAACAAAGAAGCAAACTGAGCAGAGGATTGACTCATCTGTGCTCTTCTGCTCCCTCACTGTCCAATCAGCAGGCTTGGAGTGCATCGGACCCCTCTATGATTCTGCTGCAGTGGAGGTCCAGAATCTGTCTGTGCTGTACGGCAGGGGTGAGGGATTGAACAGCAAATCCTTTGGCCTGTGAACAATTCCCATATGTATCTTTCAGCTTTGTATTTAGCTGCTTCCCTTCAGCTTTCAGTTAAATATTTTCAGGGCTAAGATAGTTAGAGATTTGAAACACTCAAAGCTATTTCCCCCCCTCGTCACTGCGCACTAGCTATGGAGTTTATCATTAACGATCCCAGAAGCAGATCAGACAGACTGCAATAAATACACAGATTGAAGTTAAAGTGGAACCACCATTAAATGAAAAGCCCACTAAAACATACATTACAAACCTGCTCTTGCCACAATATTCCCCTTCAATGGAGACATTTCCCCCCGCTATACTCTTTTTCTGCCGCTAGATGTCCTCAGTCTGATGGCCAACATCATGCAGCCCACTTCCTCTGAGCCCAGGTCATCCCAGACCCGCCCACAGCCTGTGACTGGACAGTGAGAGCAGCACAGTGATGAGCTCAGCTGTCACTTTGCTTTCTCCTCCTATCAGCATGTCACTTGTCGGCACCATTGAATGGCTCCGTGTGCTGCTTCTTCCTCTCTCACTCCAGCCCCACTGTACAAGGACACCAGGTTATATACAAGCACTTACATTTGCTTGCATTTAAACAAATACATGTAATTATGTATTGAGGATTACAGAGTGGCATTTATTTGTATATTTTACACTTACCTGAGTTCAGCTTTAAAAATTTCTTATATGCTTTAGATTTTTTTTTATTCTTTACTGACATTATAAAGGTTTATGTCAATATATGAAAGGAACGTCACCGTCTGAGCAAACATTAGTCTGGGGACATGTACCAGGCAGT